AACACTATTTTGAAGGAAACATAAAAATGCTTTATTTTATATAGAACTAATTCCAGCCTTTTTTTTTTTGCAGTGAACACTAACAGTCATCAATAATTACAGTGTACATTCCATACCCTTCTATGTTTTGTCCCTAATTTTATTTTCTTGATTACGGATGTCTACTTTTGCCCTCTAATATCTGTAATACTTTGGTGATTTGGATATATTATTAACACTCACATTAGCTCCGATGCTGTTCCTATCTTGAGATATCCTTTTTGTGCCTCTAACTTTTTAATATTTCAGTGGAAGGCCACTGTTAGAACTCTTAGAGAGTAAACTCTAAAGGAATAAAAGTGTAACATGTCTTAGTACTCTTCCATCCTCTGCTTGCTAATCTAGTGCCTATGCACTGTTTTCAACCGCCCACTACAGTTGATATGTGCTCTCTTATAATTCTTAACATAAAAAAGTTCACCCCAGAGAAAGTTGTTAACTATTTTGGAGTGGTTGCTCTTGAAGCTCCTGTTTCTATTACATTAGTGAAAGAATGAGAAAGAAATCATAGTGACTTTTAGGCAGACTAGCAGTAGAGGAACTAGACAGTATTTTTACGGTGATTTTTCAGATGCTTCCGTTTGTATTCTACTCCCATTTCTCCTTGGTAATCTTTAATCAACTTTGCAGTATAATTAAAGATAAGCAAATTAGTTTTGGCACTTTTATCAACTCTAGGGAAATGTGGGGGGGGGAAATGATTGGCTATTTGAATAAAATGAAGTTTTTGAATTTTTGTTTATTATCCATAGTTACTATGGAAAGTTCGATTAGCTTGAATCATATTTGTTTCTCTGCTGCTGGGAATCCCCCATATATAAAACATTCATGTACTTCAATTAGCACTCTGTACATGAATCTGAAATAGGTATTCAAGTCAGGAAAAGACAGTCAAGCCCTAGGTGAGCTGATGAGCCATTTAATGAGGGAAGGCTGCTAAGTAACCAGTTGCAAATTACATTTTAGTGTGTTCATTAGCACATTTAGATATTACTTTTATAATAATTTGGTCCTTCCAATTTCTGTATATTGTAGAGCAGTATTAAAGATACAAGGGAAATCAGAGTAGTCACATGTCATTTCTGCTCCCTTCTAAGTATCCAGGCAGCAGACTCTAGGAACGCTGGAGTTAAGGAAGTTGGGTGTATGTACCTCCTCCTTCGCCCTGGTAGGCTCAGCTGCTGTGGATCAGGGCAGGAAGAAGGCACATAACGTGGCGTTCCCCTTCCAGTTCAGATCTTTCAGAAGAAGCAGTAGTGTTTCCAGGGTCGAACGGTAGTGTAGATCAGAACTTAGAGACGTGGGCTCCCGCCTTGGTGCTGCCGCTGAGTGCTGAATGTAGGAAGCCTCAGTTTCCTCATCTGTGAAGTGTAGTAGCAAGACTGGGTGATTTCTTAGGTCCCTGGGATTCTGAGGTTATGATTTTGTGTGACAATAATATGTTTTAAAGTAAAATGTAATAAATTATCTAGCCAATTCAGCCCAATAATCTGTATTTCTCTTTTCTTTCTTTTATAAAATTGTGTAGAACTGCTATGATCTTCTGGTCAGAAAGAAAAGACTCATTGTTCTCTTCAGCCACTGGTTACTTCATGCCTATGGAATAATCTCCATTTCCAGAGTGGATAAACTCGAGCAAGATCTACCCCTTTTGGCACTGGTACCCACACCAGCCCTTTTTTACTTGTTCACCGCAAAATTTACCGAACCTTCACGGATACTCTCAGAAGGAGCCAATGGACACTGAATGTAAAATGCCAAAAAACCCTAAGAAGTGTTCTTAATAAAAGGAAGTAAAGAAAGAAAAGAATGTATTAGTACTCTTCTGTCATACATGGGAATATGACTGTCAGTACACCTAATGTTATGGGGGGGGTTGTTGTTTGTTTTCTTTTTTTGACTTAACAGATTTTGTGGTTTGATGGAAAATACAAAATCCCATAATTCTCCATTATGTAGTAGAACACACCATACACTTAGAGCACACGGTTATATTACACTAGAAACCTATTAGGAAGCACTTGCCTCTTGCAACAATTTAGCTCTTTTGTGCAAAATCATGTTTCTGTGTACCTAGCAATGTGTTGTTCCCACTTTTATTAAGAAAAACTGTAACAAGTATCATCTGGAATCCTTAGCATTGGCATACTTGCGCATGCCTGTTGTGTTTCAGTGTTTCAAGTATACTGAATTATAAAGTCAAACGTATTTGTGGGGTCTGATAGCAAACATGGAAATCAAGTATGTTGTTTTTTGTTATCTATTTATTTTCACCAATACAGTATTTTGATCTATTACAAAAATAGAGCCTAATTTATATAAGAGGTCTTTTGTTTTAGGTAGTTTGGTTGAAGACATCTTCAGGTTATTCCTGTTCCTGTAAAGAAAAATGATAATAAAATGCTTAACTACAAAAAAATCTCAAATATCTGGCATTTAATTGTATTTGCCACACTAATTGTGGAAATAATTCAAAATGTTAAGTAGTAAGATTAGTGTCTCTTTCCCAAATGAATAAATATACTTCCTTCCCCCATATCTCATTTTTGAAGGATATATGCACGTGCCATATTTTATGAATCCTGAGACACAATTTTTGTCACATTGTGATATCTCAATTGGTGGCTTCCTAGATTTAACAAAATACAGAATATATACAGTACATAAAGTTTTCCTGTGGTTGGTTGGTAATACGTGTGCTGTGATTTTTATGCTCTGAAGTCTTCAGGAGACTCATGATTGGGAGCAAAATAAGATTTTTGCACTTAATAATCTGACCATGTTTATCCATTTGTATTTTTAGAAGGTTATTTCCTTTTTCTGCTCCTTGGCGAGGGTTGCGTGAGTTTGTTAAATCTCAAACTTTTAAGACTTCCATTGACAGTTGAAAAATATAAAAGAAAATGCACTCACTTTTTCTGTAGTTTTGTACCTTTTAAATTCACAGCAGTTGTATACTTTAAGTTACTTTGTTAGTTTTTCTTTGTTGATTTTTTTTCATAGTACATTCAACCACTGGGAGACGTATTCTTTTGATAGGACTCTGTTTCTTCTTATTTTCTGTAGGAATAAATAAAATGTAAAAAGTCTATATGTATCTTATATAGGTTTATGTAGTTACAATTTTAAATTGCCCCAAGAATCCTCAATTGGACGATTGTATAATGGGCGGGGGTGGGGTGGGGGGTGGTGCTGAGGGATCATGCATCTGATTACCAGGACTATCTTTTTGTCGCAGTACATTTGGAGTCATTTTAATAATTATTTTCCCCTCCAATGTCCTCTTCTAGCAGAAAAGTGTGTATGCAAAAGGAGAAATTGTGCAAGTAATATGATTACAAGTCCTCAAATGCAAAGAATTTCGGAAATAATACATATTTGCATTTTTAATTTGCTTCCTTAAGAACAAGACTAGAACAATTCATAGCAACTGTGGTTCCTAATGTTACTAAATAATTTGTTAAAATGGTCATTAAAAATACACAAAAACAACCCTTTTTCTAGCTCGGCTTTGTTTTGTCTTAGATCCTTGTACTGTATTACTACTCTGGCTGCTACAGTGTATAGTAATTACTTTGCTAACTAGCACTGGATAGGTAATATAAAAGTTAAAATATTTTCTTAATTTGGGTCAATTGATAAATATATAACAATTACATTGTTACATATTTGTCTCAAACCGATAGTTTTCAAGACTTGGCTGCCCAATGGAGCCAGCTGGAGAGAGTTCTAAAAACACACTGGGGTCTCACCCCCAGAGATTCAGGGTGAATTGGTCTGGCTGAGCAGAGGGATTTTTAAAACTTCCTCCAGGTGACTCTAATGTTTGATAACCATGGTCTAAACTCTCTTCCTAGTTCAGATCTTAATTTTTCGAAGAGATCTTTTGAAAATTTCTGAGGGAATGATTTTTTTAAGTATTTCATACTGAAATTTTGATTCTGCTTCAATAATTAGGTTCTTTTCCAGAATTAAATGATCAAAATAAATTATATCAAGTCCTTTTCATCACAATAACAAAAAGATAACTTTAACAGAGTTACACGAATTTTTTGATCTTTCTCTAAAAATCTCTCTTGGCCTAAAGAAGTCTTCTGTAGAGCACATATCAAGTTAAAATATTTGATTAGCACACAAAGTGTTTATCTGTAACCTAACTCAGGGATTTTTGGAATTTTAAAACAAAATTATTTTTAATACTTCTTTACAAATAATCTGTACACAGTTACTATTTGGTTTAGGTATACACCAAGAATTAACTTATTTACCTTTAATTTACAAGAAAGAACGTTAAAGCAAAAAGTAACGATTTTAGTTTTCAGGATGAAGTCTGGCATTTCACATTCGGCCAAGCCTATCCCCCACTCTTGCCAACTGGTACCCCCAGCAGATCTCCACTCAGCCACGCTATTACTGTTCCTGGCCAGCTTACGTCAGCTGCTCCTTCAGGAAGACATCCCTGTATATTCCCAACGCCCCAAAAGATTGAGAGGTGCCTCTTTACCCTCCACAGCCACTCACTAGAAGGAATCCACCATATTCTAATCATCTCTTCACTTGTCTGCTTCTCACAGTGTATGACCAGTTTCAGGGACTGGTTTTGTTCAACTCAGTAACTGGGCATGTGCTCTAGTACAGGGCTCAAAGGTATTCAATATGCTAATACAGATAGTGCAGTGACCCTGAAGGAGAGCACCAGGACCTGCAGGGCCACAGTGACACATTGTGGCCAGAAGAGGGCAGGAGAGGGCTGTTAAGCTGGAAGAGATCAAGGGCTTCTCTAGAAGTCCATCAGTGACAGAATACTTTCAACGCGAAATATCCTAGAGCTGAGAGGTGCCTCAGAGATGTTCAAGTAATTCAAGGAGCCAGGGTGACTATTATCTCCTCAGGAGGGCAGAAGATTTCAGGGATCTCAGTGCCTAATTTGTGTCTGAGGCATTATTTATTATTCCTGTTAGTTAGCATTCATATTTAACCAGGGCAACTGAAGAGTGGAAGTTAAATAACATGTAAGAAGCAGAGCTGAGATTTGATCCCAGGTCCACCTTCCTCCAAAGCCCATGTGGTGCCAGTGCTCCAGGAGCAGAAACAAGTGGAGTAAGGGAATCCAGAAATCCTCCTTTACATCTCAGCTCCATTTCCAGTTCTCCAGAGACCTCTCCCGATTCCTTAACTAGGTCAAGTCTCTCTCCCTCTAAGGTTCTCTCATAGCTCTCATACCCCACCTGTAAAATTCCTAAGACAAGAGGTTTTACATACATTTGCATAATACTTGGTTCTCCCACTGTGTCAGGGGTGAGCAAACTACAGGGGCAATTCTGCTACAATGGCAGACCTGAGTAGTTGCTACAGAGACCTTATGGGTGACAAAGCCAAAAAATATTATGGCCTTTTAACATTTGCCGGCTTCTGTACTAGACTGTGAATTCCATTTGGGCAGGGATTATACCTGTTTTCATTCACCACTGTAACCCCAGAGCCTAACATGGTACTTGGCACAGAATAGGCATTCGGTAAATACTTGTGGAATTCAGTTTAGTGTTAATAGTGAAACATGGATGAAACCTTAAAAACAGGAGGAATTTCAAGTATCAGTATGCCCAGTTAGGAACATTTCAGTGGCTGCAAACAGTACTGGCTTTTTAAATTGAAATTCCTCCAATCAGTAATCTATTGACTGAAAATATTTTCAGTAGAAATGTGTTTTTTCTTATAAAATTAAGTGATATTCTTTTCATTTCCAACAACAAAAAGAATATTTTAATTTTTTCCGGAATTGGTCACTGTGTAACAGAACATGTTCATCATTGCATGGCCTAGGATCCTTAGGGTTTGCCATGTTGCCAAAAAAATCTCACCCACTCCATGAGTGATCAAAGGAGAAGATGCAATACTCTAGCTCAGGGTTTGGCAAATCTTTTCCGTAATAGATAATTTAGGTGTGGCGAGCCACATGGTCCCTGTCAGTGTCTGCCATTGTAGCACAAAAGCAGCCATATGTAATGTGTGACTGTATGAGCATGGCTGGGGTTCAATAAAACTTTATCTACAAATATAGGAATTTGAATTTCATATAATTTTCTGGCACCAGGAAGTATTATCCTTTTGATTTTTTCCCAACTATTTGAAAATATAAAAACCATTCTTAGCTCTGAGCCCTATAAAAACAGGAGGGGGCAGCTTTACAGAAAAACCCGAACGAAATTTTTGGCCAAGCCAATACTTTCCATACTTGCAATACTTCATAATAAATATTAACTGGAACTTGTTCCAGTTGTCTAGAATAAGAACGGTTTAATTAAGAGTCGTATATACGGACTGCCTATCAAATGAACTTAAATTTTAATTAAATGATTGTACCATTTGGATGAAATAAAAATGAATGGCACATGCTGAATTGGCCTATTATTTATATTTTATTTGGGTTGGTTTTCACTCAAAGCGACTACTACTCTTTTCTGAACATGATACTTTAAGTTGAAAATGGAAGTAAAAATTAAGATCCATGCTGAGACTGAATATACAAACCAACAATGGCCACACCATACATGACAATAGACCCATGCAATGACCATATATGTAATGAGCCCAGAACAGTCATAACTTGATCAATGACCACCAACTTCCCTCTTTTATGACCCTTCTTCTAACTTGGGACCAACCAGAGAAAAGCCAAGTATGCTTACTAATCAATCACATAGGCTGTCCTCCTTCTAGTCAGCCTGTTACCAGCCTCCCCATGCAAACAACCTCCAATCGGAACACACCTGAAACCTTCCTTTTTTTCCCCACACTAAACCTCTCTCACTCCCGCACCTGCCTCTGAATCTCTGGCAAAAACAAGCGATGGTGACTCTGACTCCCTTGTTCTACCAAGCTTTATGCCTCAGCTTGTTCTCGTTTGGGTGGCCTGCAATTTTTTCCATGCTGCAATCCTCCACATTCCATAGGTTATCAATAAGACAGTACTCAAAATAAATGAAAAAGGGAATATGGTATTAGTTATTCCATGGGTTTAGCTTTTCAATATAGTCTATTTTTTTGCTCCAATGCAAAGATTCCATCAGGTTTCAGACAAAAATGGAAGATCTGCTCGTGTGAAAACAGTGCAATTGACACCTAGAGATGATTTGGCTCTTAAAATTCTGCCTGCTCTACAGTTGCTAGGGATGGCCTGACCTAGCAAAGAAAATGCAGAGTTAAGCAAGATTCACCAGGGACCCTTATGCACTAAGACATAATAGGTATCACCAACCTGGAGCAGGACCATCAAGACAGCTTTTAGGTTGATAAGAAGGTTCACCCACAAAATTCCTTATTGGTTGCTAAAACATTATTTCTTTTGTCAAGCAATACCCTCAGAATATTGGTTTTTACCAAATATTGAGATGTTTTTAGTTGTACCACTTTCTCTCATTTTACTTTTATTTCATCTTATTTGTAAATTTTCTACAACCCACCTTTAATATTGCTTTTCTAATGATGATGCTTTTAAACCTTAATAACCTCTAACAGATCTGTACACTTGCCAGATGACATTATTTTCATTTCACCACTCCATCTCTCCCCTACGCTCTATTCTCCTTCCTTCTCACCAGCCCCTTCTACCTCCACCATCCCACCTTCCCAAGGGATTCCAGCCCTGGGACCTCTGGGCTGTACTGTGCGAGGATTCACCTTCACTTCTAACTGCAGCCCTGATCTGGAAGGAGTTCTGTAGCCCTTGTGTCTAACATGACACTAGACTAGGGATTGAGGATGATATTCCTCTGGAGAGCCCGGGTTGCTTGCTCATGAGTCAATCGTGTTGCATAGGATGTGTTATCATCTCAGAAGCCCCAGAAGGCATCACTAGAAAACAGCAACTATTGCTGTCTTTAATGCTGTTGCTGTTTTTAATGCTAAACTCAGCTCAGGAAGAAAAGGGAAAATGATGTTCAATATCTTCTGTTTAAGAAGACAAGGAAGTATGTAAAAGAGTTTAAAAAGATTTTGGGAGGAAAATGTTTTAAAAAATCAGAAAGAAGTTGAGATTCAGCTATTTAGGAGATTCACTCAGATGGAAGGGAGACTTGCCCAACACTGCTGCATTACCATATTCAACCCCACAAATGAGAATCAACATTCATTGAACATATGTGACATTATTGAGAATGGATTACTGGGGATAACTAAATTATTGATAGGTATTCTTTTTTTTTTTTCTTTTTGCTATATTAGATGTCACCAGCTACAGTAGAATAGCAGAAAGGTCTTTGTTACCCAAAGCTCTTGAGGTGTTACTTACTGAGAAGGTCCGTCTGCGATTCCTGTTCCATAAGAAAACGCATCTCTTCAATGTCCTCTTGAAGCCAAATACTGATTTGCTCAATTTTTTCATCTCTTTCATACAGCTTCTCTATCAGATTTTTTATTTCTTGCAAGGTCTCATTACCACTCTCTACCAATTCCTTTAAAAAGTAGCATTTGGGGGTATGTGAATATAAATTGCAACAAAATAAATAAAAACATATTTTGTATAAGTGAGTCATGTACAAGACAAAAATACATAGGTAAAATTGGTACTAGTCATGTAAAATAAGTGTCTGTAGACAGCAAATTCACAAGGTTCTGTAAAGGATCTCAGAAAAGTGGATTAGCAAATGAGAAGATTTAACAGAGTACTCACTGAACTCCAAATTTTAACTGGGTAGGGTAGTGGTGGTGGTATAAAAAAGCCAGCCCATCTTAAGAGCAGCACAGAATTGCAGAGGAGATTCAGCATGGCTTAAAGCTTAAGAGAAAGAACTTTGGAATCAGGCTGGATCTGAGCTTTAAATCCCCATAAGTTCATCAACTGTTTGGTCTTCGGCAAGTCACTTAAACTCTCTGAGCCTCTGTAGCTTCATCTAAAAAAGGCACTACTAACACTTCCCTTAGCCACTGTTTTAAGGGTTAAACAAGGATCACATGTAAACTTTAAATACTTAGGAAGTAGCAGAACCAGGATTTAAACTACAGCCTACCTCCCTCTAAAGGGGGGAGGGTTGGAGATGGTGAATGGCTGGTAAAACATGGAGGAGAGATGGAGTTCAGAATTGACAACTTTGTCCTAAAATGATCTGTGTTCAGTTTGTACTTGAAAAAAAAAAATTGTAATTCCCCCATTCCCACTTTAACTGAAGTGGTAGAGTGGGAAGACAGCTTCCCAAAGGATTAAGATTTCATAGTGATGTTTGGTACTCTTAAAAACAAGACAACAGGCCCAAAATGGAGTCACTTAACACTAAACCCCATGTCACCAAACTGCGAGACTTAATTACAGTTTCAGCTCTCTCAGAAATGGAATCTTAAACCAGTCAATCAGGAATCTACCTGATCAGTACTAGTCAGGTAATTTGCCTAGTAGACCCCTGCCATCCCTGAGAGGAAAGTGACCTTGCAACAGCCAACCTGCCTTTTTTGCCTGGAATAACTTCCTTGCTCCTGATCCCTTCTGACTATGAAAGTCTTTCATTTGTACAGCTCCTCAGGGCTCCTTCCTGTCTGCTAGCTTAAATGATGCCTGATTCATGAAGTGTTGAATAAAGCCAATAAGATCTTTAAAATTTACTCAGTTGAAATTTGTTTTTTAACAGCACAAAGGATACATTTTAGGATATGATGATCACACCAGCTCTGTCACTCCCCGCAAATCCTGACCTCTTTCCTTACACACACACTTATTAGGTAGGTGAATATCTTAGAAATATGATACTTATGGAGGCAACACAAAAAAGCTCACCTTAAGTGTAGTCCAAAATCCAGTCCACAAATCCGAATATTGTGCTAAATTAAAGATTTTTAAAATGCAAAAGTTAGTGAAATAATTTGAACATTTTTATTCAAGTAACGCTATTTGTTTTTCAAAAATTATTTTTATCTAAAAACTCCTACTTCCAAAATGTCAGAACAACACTTGCCCTCCCACTTAAAACAAGGAGAAAATGGGACTAAATGTATAAATCAAGTATATTTGTTTCAATATCCAGTTTTCAGATACTGGAGAGTGCGCAGTACAGAACTGTGACACCTGAAAGAAGGTGGAGAAATGTGAGCGCTATGACCACTGGGCGCTCTGCTGGGGGTGTGAGCAGAGCAAGGCAGTCTCACACAGATACAGAAATCTGCTCAAAGATTAGCAAATCAAATCCAGCAATATAAGAAAACAATAATAGGTTTTGAACAATAATAGGTTTATCCCTGGAGTGGAAGATTGGTTTGACATTCCAAAATCAATCAATGCAATTTCCCATACTAAGGGAATAAAGGAGAAATACCACCTGAGCATCTCGGTAGCTGCTTGAGTCACTGAGGTCATTCACACAGGCACTGCATGTCTATGTGACTGACCCCTTCCAATAAACACCCTGGACATCCAAGCCCCTGTGAGCTCCCCTGCCTAGCACCATTTTGCATGTGTCGCACGTCATTGCTGGGGGAATTAAGTGCATCTTTGCAACCCCACTGGGAGAGGATGCCTGCAAGCTTGCACCTGGTTTCCTCCAAGCCCTTTTGCCCTTTGCTGATTTTACTCAGTACCCTTCACTGTAATAGAAAATAACTATAAAGTATAACAACTTCTGAGTCCTGTGAATCCTTCCAGCTAATCACCAAGAATGGTGACTGTCTTGAGGACCTCTAAAACAATATGAAGAGCTGCAAAATCTTGCTGAGAAAAATTAAAGAAGTTCTAAATAAATGGAGATATATACTGTGTTCTTGGATTGTAAATCTTCATTTTGTTAAGATGTCAATTCTCCCCAAATTGATTTACAGGTTCAACACAAACCCAATTAAGATCCCAGCAGGGGTATGTGTGTGTGGTGTGTATAGATTAATAAGCTGATTCTAAAACTTATATGGAAATCAAAAGATCTAAAATAGCCAAAATAATTCTAACAGAGAAGCACAAATGTGGAGAACTTGCATTACATGATTCCCAGACTGAATATGAAGCTATAGTAACCAGGACAGTGTGACACTGGTGTACAGTTAGATATTTAGAATAAAGGAACAGACTCATAAAACTGATCTTTTAAAAACATCGTTTGAGTAATACAGTGCTAAAAGGAGAGTTTTTTCAAAAATTGTGCTGGCACAATTGAATACGCATAAGAGAAAACCATGACATTTCAACCCTTACCTCATACCATATGAAAAAGTTAACTTGAAATGAATCAGGGATCTAGACATAAAAGCTAAACTAAAAACTCAGAGATAACGTAGGAAAAAATCTTTGAGAACTTGGCTTAGGCAAAAATGTATTAGACATGAGCACATGTGATTCATTATTCTATGTGCTACTTTTCAGTAAGTTTTAAATTTTTCTTAATAAAAAGTTGAAAAAAAATGTATTAGACAGGACACAGAAAATACTAACCCTAAAAGACAAACTAGATAAAGCAGTCTTTGTTCAAAAGAAAATTTTTAACTTCTTTTCTAAGACACCATTAAGAAAATGAAAAGTCAAGCCTCAGACTGAAAAATGACTCATTTCCAGACTATATAACGATTTTAACTCAATAAGAAACACAAAGAACACAAAGCAATAAGCAAAAGATTTGGACAGACATGTGGCAGAGTGTATTTTCCAGAGATGGCTCCACAGTATATTTCATCTCAAATGCTCTTCCCCCAACATGATGCTGACACTCTTCCCATTAGTAGTGATGTCTCTGTCCCCTCCCCTTTTGCCTGGTGACTGCCTCAACCATTAGGACATTGTGGAAGTGGTACTCTGACTACCAAGGTCAAGTCACAGCAATGCCATGAACTTCCACTTTGTTTTCTTGGGATGCTAACTTTTGGAACACAGCAGGCCAAGCAGCTACATGCATGGAGTGGCCACATGGAGGTGTTCTGGCTAACAGTCTCCCCTGAATTCATCTGAGAGCCAGCATCGACACCAGAAGTGTGAGTGAGTGGGTCTTCAGATCATTCCAGTTCCCGGCTGCTGAATTACCCCCCAGCCATCAAGTTGCCCCAACCGATGTCATGTAGAACAGACAGGAGTTGCCTCCACTAAGTTCTAACCAAATTGACAATTTGTGAGCAAAGTAATTTGTAACGTCATGCTGTAATAGATAATTTGTTCACGACACTTCACAAAAAATGATGTATAAGTGGCCAAAAAGCATATGAAAAGGTACTTAACAACCTTAGTCAACAGGAAAACTTAATTAAGAGGGAATATCATGGGGCTTCCCTGGTGGCACAGTGGTTGAGGGTCCGCCTGCCGATACAGAGCACCAGGTTCGTGTCCCGGTCCGGGAAGATCCCACATGCCGCAGAGCGGCTGGGCCCGTGAGCCATGGCCGCTGAGCCTGTGCTCCACAACGGGAGAGGCCACGGCAGTGAAAGGCCCGCGTACCGCCAAAAAAAAAAAAAAAAGAGGAAATATCATTAAATGCCTAGTAAATGGCTAAAATGTTAACAATTTTAAGTGTTTTGACAATTTTAATAGTTGGTGAGGATGTGGAGTATCCCATTGATAGTGGGATGATAAATTTGTACAACTACTTTGGCAAACTGGCCATTTCTTATAAAGTTAAACCTGTTACACTAACGGTGTAACCCAGCGATTCCCCTCCTTTGTATTTACCCAAGAGAAATGAAAACAAATATCCTCAAAAACACTTACAAACAAATAGCAACCCCAAACTGGAAACAATCCAAATGTCCTTCATCTAGTGAATGGATAAACAAAACATGGTATATCCATTTAATGGAACACTACTATACAGCTGTAAAAAAGAGCCAATGATGATATATGCAACAACATGGATGGATCTTAAAAAACAGTTTGCTGAGTGAAAGGAGCCAGGTACAAAAGAGTTCATGCTCTATCATTCCATTTATATCTAATCCTTAGGGACAGAAGGCACCTCAATGGTTTCTAGGGACTGGAGGTAGGGTGGGAAATCAACCACAAAGGGACACGAGGGACGTTTTTCAATGATGAAAATGTTCTATATCTTTCTTGTGGTACTAGTCGTTCTAGTGGTATGTACATTTGTCAAAACACATTGAACTTAAGATGGGTGCATTTTATTATATGCAAACCAGTAAAACTGATTTAAACAAAACTTTATTTTTTATATGTAAAGGTCATTCATGACACATTACTTACTCTGAAGAGCTGTCAGCTGAGACGACAGGTCACTTGAGGTGCACATGAGGTCTTCTGCTCCCTTTCTGTGTTGCTCTGTGCTGTTCTTTATGCACGCAATATACTGGAAATTAAAGGCATGTGTTTGCTTTAAGCAGTTTAGTTAATTATCCATGCAGTCACTTAGCAAACATTTATTGATTCCTCCTCTGTGCGACCTACCATTCTAGGTACAAGGGTAACAGTGGTGAACATAGCCCTTGTTAAGCTTACATTCTGGTGAGGGAGGTAAAGGACATTACTTCCTGGTAAGCATTTCAACAGCCAAGTAAACATGGTATTCTGAATTTGCCACAAAAACGAATTAAAAGGTATTCTGCCTAAACACACTGTCTTCACAGGGAAAAAAAATGATTTTTTTTTTGTTGCAAAATGTGTGTTCAGTACATGTTACAAGGCAGCACTGATGCCTCACTGGAGGCGTTCATAAGACCTCACAGAGATCAAGTCAGGAGAGCCTATGGAATTGCTCACTCTAGTTGGATGTTTCATTGCATGGGGTGGCAGTGGTAGCAGTGGTTTGAGTGTTGAAGTCATGGCTTTCTGTTCTGACCACCCAATGCTCAGGACCTCTAAAGTCTCTGGGAACTCTGAAAGTATGGGCTTTGGGATATAATGTTGGCACTGGCCCAGTTTCAAGAGAGAAATAGTCAAATACTAGAAACTACTGATAAAAATCTTAGAAATAGTGTCTGGTACCGTTGGAGAAGTAGACATGGAACTGTTCCAGAGGACTGTGTTTATAAGCATGTTTCAGAGGGTCTCTCATGCAGCCTTGATCTTGTGGCAGTCTTTGCATGGCTTGCTGGAAGGTTTTGTAGTAAACCAAAGTGCAAGTCACCTTAAGCCAAGTCCAAGTCATCATTCTCGCTCTCTTTGAACATGGATCACTATTCATAGACTTGCCTAGTTCAGCAGGCCTCTCGTAACTCTCCAGCTTTCCTCTCTTAGTCCCCCTTTTTGGTCTCCTCTTCTGTTGACTCTTTAAAAGCTGTCTTTCTCCAGAACTCTGTTCACCCCTCACTGTTCTCATTCACTATCCCTGAGGAATTTCACCATCTCCCAGGTGTAAAGCCTACCTCTATGCTAATGACACCCTGTCAGACTTTTCCTTGGAGCTCCTCCCGTGGTGTGATTAGGTGCTCTTGCTCTGGGTGACTCTGTATATGCACCCTGTGTAGACTGTCACACTTAACAACCAAATTGTAATTCCATCTGTATACCCATCTCCCCAGTTAGACTGCGAGCTTTCTAAGGGCTTGGGACCGTGTCTTACTCGTATTTGTATTCACTGTGCCTTCCCTAGAGTTTGGGACTCACTGATGCTTAAAATGTTTGTTGAATGAAGGGATGCGATCATTAAAACAAAGAGTGGTAAGTGAATAAGATAAACGAATAGGGTCATCCAGGGGCTAGTAGGTGGACCTTGAATCCAAAAACAGAACTTTTAGAATCGGTCTTTAACATAGTCAGCCATCCATTTGCTCACACATTGCTAAAACAGCAATGAAAATTCCAGTTAGATTAATAAATAATCTACATCATCTTGATAGAAGACAGCCTGGTGGAATATTTCACAGGTGGATGAAATTTCTTACAAGGTTGTTTCAAGGGCTAGAATGAAGATGTGTCAGATGTGTACAGGTTCTTGCTCATGGTACCTGGGCTCTGCAGAGCACATCTACCTTTTCAAAGTACATTAGTACCTCTTACGCCATTTTAATTCTACCAAAAAACACATGATATTAGTGGGAAAATTGTTGCCATTTAACCAATGGAAAAAAAAATTGCTCAAAGAGGTAAAGAGATTATCCCCTTAGAGTCTTACCGCTGTAGGACTGTTTTTATTTTTCCAGTTATTAAAAATTCAAAAAAAACCCAAAGAGACTCAGTTCCTAATCTATAAAAGGGATATAATGTAATATCCACATATATTATCCAGGTTATTGTGAGCATCAAATGGGACTGAATTCCTTTTACATGTGAGGCATTGTGCAAAACTCTTGAAATACATTGATACAGATCCTGACCTTTGAGGTCAATAAGGTTTACCAGAAAAAAATTTTTAAATTGCATTTCTTTTGCACTTTCAGTTTACAAAGAAGTCACCTTCACACTATGAACTTAGGAGTTATTCCCATTTTAAGGGGAGAAAAATGAAGCTCACAAGTTAAGTGATCTGCCCAAAGTCACACAGGGTTACCAGTGAGTGACAGATTCAAATAAGTAACTCAAGTATAAATAAGTAAAATTTAATCATTTGAGATTGAGACCTTAATTTTAGGGGTTGGATGAACAAATTCCTTTGCTTTAAAAAGAGCTGCAATCAATATGAAACAGACAACCTAACTTTTTAAATGGGCACAAGACCTGGACAGGTACTTCACAAAGAGGGTATCCAAGTGGCCAACAACATATGAATAGATGCTTCATTAATCATCAGGAAAATGCAAATTAAAACCACCAAGGGACACCTCTATACACACCCTCCAGAATGATTAAATTGACAAAGGCCGAGTTTCATAGAGAACGAGGAACAACTGCGCTCTCATACACTACTGCTGGCAGTGGCAGCTGTGAAACGTCTTTGGGAGACTGGCACTGAGCACTAAAGTGGACCATATGCCTCCCTATGGCTCGAGAATTACACTTGAGATGTTTACCCAAAAGAAATATGTAACTTTATTCACTAAAAAACATGTAGTAGAATGTTCATAGCAACACTCTTTGTAATAGTCCAAATTAGAAACTCTCTAAACTCCCATTAACAGTAGGCTGTATAAATAAACTGTAGTATTAGTCATACAATGGAATACAGTACATACATACAATACAATACAGAACTAAGGAATGAATGAATCATACCTTCACTCAGTAATAAGAATGAACCTCAAAAACATAATGTTGGGCAAAAGAGTGCATATTGTATCATTTCATACATAGAATGTTCAAAAACAGGCAAAACTCACCTATGGTATTAGAAGTCAGTATAGCATTACCCTTGTTAGGAGGTTAGTGACAGGAAGGCACAATGGAAGATATCTGGATTCTGTTGATGCTTTGTTTCTTGATCTAAGTGTTGGTTACCCAGTGTATTCATTAAGCTGTGCACTTATGATTTGGGCACTTTTCTATGTGTACTTTAAGTTTCACTTAAAAAGTTTTAAGAGTTATTCTCTCCTTTTCTCTTGTAACTAGTGCAGATGCAGACAATCAACCAAGACCATTGTGCAAAGTGAAGTGCACTTGAACTTACCTCTTTTAATCTTTTATTTTCCAAGAGCAAATCATCTGTTTTTAGGTCATGTACGTAGATTTCATTTTCTAAGTGCTTTAGAACTTCAAAATGAGCTTTGATTTTATGGCTTTCGTGATCTCTTAATTGTTTTAATTCTTGCTTCACTTTATTCTGCTCAAACATAAAACCCACAGTTATTGTATAGAGTTCAACTAGCAGGGCCCCAGTGTATTAGTTTGCCTGGACCACATTCAGAGAGGGGTTCTAATTACAACTGACCCTTGAACAATGCAGGGGTGAGGGGCACAAACCCCCTCCACTCAAAAATCTGCGTGTAACTTTACAGTTGGTCCTCTGTATCCTCAGTTTCACATCCGCTGATTGAACCAACCACAGACCGCTCACTGAAAAAAATCTGCATATAAATGGACCCACAGAATTCAAACCTATGTTGTTAAAGGGTCAGCTGTAACTCCTTGGCCAACAGCAGAGGTTATGGACACCTTCCCTTGAAAAACTTTATATAAACTCCAAAGCGAATGGACTCTGGGAAACGAGTCTATGGATCCCAAGTTAAGAGCCAAAGTTAAGTTGTTGAGACAATTTCACAAAACAGACTTTGACATATGAACAATTACCTGGCAAAAATGGGGAAGCAGGGAGTGGAATTTATTGAGGCTCTTTCAGTGAGGACTTAATATTTCTCAAAAGAAGAAGAATATTACTTTATGGATTTTTCAGAGTTCTCTACAGTTTTCTCTACTGAATCCTCTAAGCAGTTTTCTATTATTATACTGCTATAAATCACATAATCTTTGTACACTGTATAATCATCCCTAGCAGCATCTTATAAAGAATATAGAATTATATATATAGTATACTTACTTGTAATTTTCCCCTTCATATGTTTCTATTTCCATAATGCACTGAAAGTTACTTTTGAGATCAGTGACTCTCAAAGAATACATTTTATTTTTAATTAACCAACTCAACATACATATGTTTATCATTAAGTATTGATTATAAAATTTGAAAAGGTAGTAAGCATCTATTCACCTGCTCCCATCTCATTCACCCCCTCCACACCCACAACTTTGGCCCACTTATCCTTGTCTTCATAGGAGTTTAACAGAATAATAGATCTGAAAAGAACCTTAGGAAGCATACTCTAATCTCTACCTTTTAAATAAGGAAACTGAATCCTCCCCAGTGATTTTCCAGTTTTTTGTTTTGTTTTGTTTTGAAATTTCGGCCACGCAGCACGGCATTTGGGATCTTATTCCCTGACCAGGGATTGAACCTGTGCCCCTGGCATTGGAAGGTGGATTCTTAACCACTGGACCACTGGGGAAGTCCCAGGTTACATGTTCATTGCTTCTGAAGTTGCTCTCTCTCTACATACAAACACACACACACGTATATATATGTGTGTATATGTATATATCTATATACATATATGTTGTGACTAAAAATTTCAAAACATTGATATTAACAGAGTAAGTTTAAAAAATGTGAATTTCTTGAAAACTCTAATGTGCTAGGTAAGTATCACTGTCTGTATATACCAATATTCTAATAAAAGAAAAAAGAATGAATACATTGACTCTTTACCGTGTTGTCAAGGTATCTTAAAAAGTCTCTTGACAATTGAGAAATGTGATCATTCAGTGAATTCTGCTCCTGCTTTTGTGCTATAAAAAAGAGAGAGAGGAAAAAATAACCACCTACAGTGTTCTTTAACTAAAAGACAATAATCAAAACAAGACATATGCCTGGACCCCTGTGTTTGACTCCTCAGAATCAACCATTTTTAACTCATTTTAACTTTTTCCTCTTACATTTTCTTAAAAATCTTTTTCTTAAAATTTTTTCTTTAAGAAACTTTTTTCTTTCTTAACTTCTTCTGCTCGCTTCCTAACATAGTAGAGGACACAGCCCACTTACCCCCATCCCTACACCTCCCGCCCACACCCGCAGCTCCATGTTCCCTCCCTCAACCTCCTCGTGAAGTTGTGGATTTTGTTTAAATGAATTTTAACTGTTTGGATCATTATGACAATGTAAATATTATTCACTGATGAGGCAAACAGTGTAGTATGATTACACTTCCTTTCTTATATAGTTTCTTGTTTTTCCTGGAGGTAAAAATTACCTCACTTTTTAAAAGAATTGCTTAGTTTTCCATGTACATGTCATTAATTCATATCAAAATCTATAACAGAACTGTAAAATCTTTCTGAACATTACTTCCCACGTGGTCAAACACGTTATGTAATCCATCAGTTCCCTTTCTCTACCCTCTCCCACTACCTTCTGTACATTTTTCTTTAGTCCTGCCGCAAAGCTGACCTCCTGGGACTTCCCTCTGCATCTCTCTCATGTTGGACCTCCTGCTTTCTGAATCTCATACCTTTTTTTTTCTCTTATTTCCTCTGTTTGTTGAAGCAAATTTTATGTAGCTTCCTGAGACAGAGTAAATGAGATCTTGTATATCTAAATATATCTCTATTCTAAATCTATACTTGACTGGTAGTTTGGATGGGTATCTAATGTTGGAAATTATTTTCTCTCAAAATTTTGAGGGCGATGTCTTCTAAATTCTATTATGATATTGATGTAAAGAAGTCTGAGACCATTCTCAGACTTGTGTGAGATCTGCTTTTTCTCTCTAGAAGCTTTTTAGGATCTTTTTTTTTTTTTTTTTTTTTCTCCTGAAATCCAACAGTGATGTAGCTTAATGTCTTTTCTTTCATATATTGTACTGGAGATTGACAGGCCCTTTAAGGCCCTTTAAAATAGGAAGTTCATATTCTCCAGTTCTGAGAAATATGTTTGTAATATTTCATTGATAACTTTATACTTCCCATTTTTTTTCTGACCTCTTTTTCTGGCCTTCCTGTTAGTCAGATATTTGACACCTCAGAACAGTTTTATAATTTCCTTACCATTTTATCCTGTTATCTCCTTATTTTTTGTTCTATTTTTGGAGAGATTTCCTTAACTTTTCTTATAATCCTATTGAATTCTAAAATTTTAGTTGCTATATTTTTTATTTTTAAGAGCTCTTTTTTGTTCTTTGTTCTTTCTTTTAAGCATCTTGTTCTTTTCATAAATGCAATATCTTATTTCTCTAAGAATATACTTTAAGATATATTCTCTATACTAGAGAGAACATATATTCTGAGCAATATACAGAGAATATATATGTATTATATATAATAATATACAGAGAATATATACTCCCTGAGAATTTATCTTTAAAAGTATTCTTATGTTATTTGTGTTTATGTTTCCACCAAGTTCTGTTTTTCTATCTGCTTTAGTTTATGTCATTCATGCTGGAGTTTTTCCTGAGATGTCTGGTGATCTTTGACTATCTAATCCTACTTAAGGGTGAGGGACTAAAAGGTTTGGTTCCTGGGTGGACTTCACTGTACAGTGATCAGAAGTGATCACCCATTTTGTTGGGGGGCTCTCTAATGTTAGATTCTGTGGAGCTCTTTGAAACTGTTCAGTGTCCTTGGGGAAGAATCCAACCATCTTCAGGGTGGGGAAGGGATCACAGAAGAGTTATAACACAACTAGCTGGCAGCCTTCATCAAGCTGAGCAGTGGAAGGGGGTCTCAGAACAGCACCTGTTTTCTGCGCTCAGCCATATCTGATATCCTGAAGTTAGAACCCTCTTGCCCAATTTCTCTGCTGGCATTGTGGAGGAATAGTCAGTCAGTGACACAGAAGAGGACATTTGACCTGGGGGTCTAACTGCTCGCTATAAAGACTTCCAGCAAATCTTCAGCCCCATGACTCATCTCGGGCTTCACAGTATCCCTGTCCTCCAATGTCCAAGACTTCCCTGGTCCTGAGGAGAGAACTTCTTGTCCTCATGCTATGCTTCTCCGTGAGCACTTGCTAGTTAAACTTCTTTTTCTGCTAATACCTCTATCCAATTACACCTTCCAACAATTTGCTGTTATTTATTATCTGTTGATGTCTTCTCTGCCAGTCTCTTTGTACTTGTGGGTTTATATCTTTAAATAAATCTTTTGCACATATTTTATGAAGTTTTATTAGGGAGCAAAGATAGATGCATGTGTTTTATCCATCATATTTAATCACAAGTCACAACATTATTCTTTATGTGTACTGAGCCTTTATATTCTACCCTCTATAAGTCTCACTCCTGGCAGGTGAAGTATACTTTCCTACTCTCTGAAGCACATTGCTCTTACGTCCCCTTTCCTTCTTTTCTCCTGCCTTCCTCTCTTTTCTCTACTTTCTTCAGTATTTTATCCCTTTTCTTTGACTTAAGAGAATCAGTTCTTGCAATATACTGCAATATATTGCCTATTTTTATACTCATTGTGTTTCTTATATCCTCCACCCAGTGCAAGAAGGGATGAAGGAAGGGTGGGGGAGTAGAAAATTGGGAACAGAGTACATATATGTTGCAAGTCTTGGTAAAAGTGGTAAAAAAACAAGAAAACCTAACTGAGTTGACTAAATGAAAATGTGGCAAAAGTGGAAAATCAACTGAGGAATGGGAACCAGACCCAGGTACTTTTTCTTATAATATTCTTATATTCTTAAAAATCCACCTTCCTTGAAAATTACCACTATTCACTTTGAATATCTGTTTATTTAACACTTGACCATATTGGGTTTCCATATGACTACCTTGTTTTGACACACTGCTTTAATTCCTATCCCCATATTCATCTTTGCTAGCTGGTCAGTCCCACCACAATGCACATTTTTTACTCCCAATTCCAGTAAAAAATGTGCACATTTTCTGTAATTTTGGTCCTGGCCTGATTCCAATGGCACTTTTTCCATCATCTAGAAGATAGAAGTTCTAGAAGTTGTCCTTCTTAATAACCTAAATCCTTGGATAATGATCCTTTACTCCCCAAATTCAAAACAAGACTCACACCTCTAGGGATGGTTCTGGATCTGTGAAATTTGGGGTTCAGGGTTAGCTGACCACATCCAATTTTTGTGGAGAAAATAATTATTTTCTATATTAAACACACACATGGTGTGCCATGTAATAAAATGCAAAATATGCATACTTTCAGACACATTTCATCTTCTCTATGAAGCCCCCAGATCTGAGACAAGCTCTCATCTATCTCTGCCTTAGGGGCAGATTAGTGAAAAAAGTCTAAGGAGTACATACCTTATAAATGATTAAAGTCAAGCTAGAAAATGATTAAAGTCAAGCTGTAAATTCATGTTAAGAAACAAAAAATTTTCCACATGGCAGGAGATAAAGGAGTTGGTTCTACCTTTAGCAAGTACAGAGAGAAACCATATAATACAGTTGCTACTAATTCTTAATTTTAAACAGTTTTAAAAGAGAAAAGGAGGAATTTGACAAGAGTTAACAGTAAGATTGTGGTGCAGAGAAGAGGAAATTAATAGAAGAGGCAAAAACTAGAGAACAGAGAGTTAAAGGTGATGGGAGAAGTTGGGAGAATTTCACCACTGGCTTGTGATCCACTTTGTGTTAGCAGACAACAGTGAAATCCTTACCTGGGCTTGAGTTCAATTACTAAGTGCTTCATATGTACCTGTAAGAACATCAATGAGATTTTCAAACTGTCTGTTTTTGTCCGTGTATTCTTCTTCTGCCACCTGAAGCTGTGGAAGACACTCGACTAGTTCACCTTCCTTTTCTTTGTTAATTTGTGTTTCCTCAGCGAATCTTTGCTTTAAAGACAGTAAAGCTGATTGTGAGGTATGATTTTGGAGAATTCGTACAGTATTCTAGAGTAGAAGGTAAGTTCTTTGGTGGGAAAAGTTCTGTCTGTCCTGGACTCCTCTTATCCTAAGGTGCATAGAAAGGTATCTGGCACATACTAGATATTTAATAAATATTTGTTGGCTGACTCACTGACTCTCTGGCAATCTATACTGTTAGGAGATTAAATTCACTGGGCTCTCCAAAGATCCTTTCAGTTCTATAGCTGTACTGCTATGGTTCTATTACTGCTACCTAATGTGTACCCCAAAAACATATTTGAGAAACTTTCTCTTGATTGATCATATTTTATGAAAAAAAAAAACAAAACAAAACCAGGCAGAAAAACAAAATATATACCAGCTCTAAGAAACGTGGATGTTAGTAAGAAATGGGAAGGGGGTAGAAATAAGTGGATATGATACTACAATAAATGGGTTAAGAGTGCCGAAAGTAAAACATGAAAATGCCTGCTTATTTATTCAAACTCAGGTTTTATTTAGTTTCAAGTGGAATATAGTTGAATCTCTCTTAGAAAGTTAGGGTGGATTTAAAATAGTGACTAAGGCAAAGACAGCCAACTGACATTTACTATCCACTCTCCTGTCCTTCGATATCAGGACTCTTTGAGTTTTAGCTGAGCATATGGCTGCCAGCTACAGTGAGTTCTCAGCTTCCCTTGCAGGTGGGTGTGACCAATGAGTTTGTGAGCGGAGGCGGGGTGTGTCCCTCAACAGGAAGGGGTATGTGCCCCTTGGGTCCTTCCTCCTTCCCCTGGCTGGAAGAGGATGAGAATGGAAGCTGCCACTTGGACCCACAGATGTTAGTCTCATGCCGAGGGTGGCAGAGCTACCCTTCCAGCCCGCCACCCCTTCCCTTCAGCCTATACCGGGAAAGAGAAATAAACATCTCTCTTATGTAATGACCATGTCAGAAGTATCTGAGTATCTGTCTTAAATAGATACTCAGACTCAAAGATTTAAACTGGCCATAATTGATCCAGTTTACTCTTAAAAACTTTTATTTTTATTTTTATCTAAGTTGCATACACACATAATTTAAAGGAAACCCTGAGGACCAGCAGAGCAATGCCAGACATGCTTCCCCAGTGGGAGATGCCCTCACAACATAGCCTACCAGAGGCTAGTTTCCATTGACCCCACCAAAGTGGTAAGTTAGTGCAAGAGAAGGAGATCCACAGGGGTAGATGTGAAGGACTCCCTGGCCTAGAAGCCCCATGTTTAAATTGGAACCAACATCTTTTGGGCATACCTTCTAGGTCTATACAAGGGACATGCCTATTTAAAAGAGGCATCAAATCCAGGAAAGCCCAATGCTCTGGTTTCCCGCTAGTTATTCTCCTGGTCAAGATGCAGCATACTAATAAAGGGTTGTTCTATATAAGCAATGTTGCCTGATAATACAACTGATAATCCACCTTTATCAGGCTACGAGGGGAAGAGCCAGAAAGTTAAGCCGAGGTCAATTTCCTAGTAAAGGATAGAGGATTGTTAACCCTTTAGTACACATCTTGCTTATGTTCACTGCATTTTGGCATCTCTTTGATAGAGCACCTTGCTCGCACCCTAATTAATACAGTGATATGCTGTCCCATTCCAAATTACCATTAGAATCCTTATGAATAATACAGAAAGACAAAAACATACATAAAACACCGTAATATAAAAATATTACTATGCAGAATCAGGAGTAAATTCTCCAGACTGCAGTATTAAGAAACGCATATCTATACTATATTCGGTAAAAAAAGAATGGCCTGGGGGGATAAGGAGGCATGTGAATGCATTAATTCATTCCCATTGCCTGCACAAGGCTGAAGCTGCCGGCAGCACCCTGACAAGAAACCACGCTCTTCTTTTACGCTAGGAGTCAGGGTTTGGGTATCAGATGCTGCTGTAGCTCAGGCAAGGTGGTGGCTGCTGGCTCAGCTTCTTGGAGTTGGGTGACCTGTCAGGTCCACAGCTTCTTCAGATCATTCAAATCTTCCCTCAGCTTCCCTGAGTCCTGAGCCACGTGCATACATAGCCCAGTGATGAAAGGCTCCGGCTTCTGCTGCGATTTTTGGGCGTTGAAGCCTTGGAAAGGAGAGTGGCCAATGCAGGTACCAGTCCAAGCTCATGAGTTCCGCTCATCCTGCGACTTCCAGTTTGACCTTGCTTTCTCCACTTCCTGTCCATCTTTCCTTCCGAACTGCCTGCCCTGCTGCCTTTGGGCCCTGGCTCCAGATGTAAAGCTAAAAGACTCACTAGACTACATAACAAGCTCCCACAATGGCAGAAGGTCAAATCCTCTAATAAACCCCTTTCCTGGTAGCTCTGTTTCTCTGACTGAACCTTGCCAGACACAGGGCTGAAGGACCCAGCAGATCCAACTGTGATCAATGTGTCAGTGCTAGATCAGAGTGATGCAGAAGGCTTTGCAAGCTCTGACAGGAACATTGTAGTGGAGGCCCCTGGGTATCGGAGCCAAGTCTACACAAGAATTAGTCACAGCACCGCCTAGAAGAAAACACCTCTAAAGATTTGGAAGTTTACATTCTGAACCAGTGAATAATATACAGGGCTCTTTTCCTTGGGAATGCAGTGGGCCTTCTCACTATTAAACCTAATGATTTTGCTCCCCCTCCCTGTGAATTTGGCTCTGTCAGTCCAGAGATCTTACTACTGGTGAGAAGAATGATTCTATCAAGGGTACAATAATGGTTCCATAAACCAAAATCTGAGGGTGGTTCCTCTCCAATTTGGGCTCCTCATGCCACTGAACTAAAGGCAGAAATGGGATTCCAATGTGCCCAGGGTCGTTGATGGTGATTTTCAAGGGGAAAAGGGACTTATAATAATGGCGCACAGGCTGCCATCTGTCTATGACTTTGTGTAAATGAGGCACAGGTGGACAGAGTCCTGCAGGGAGCACACAGCCTGGCAAGCAGACTGTCTGCAGAAATTTTCTCATCTGCAGCCTTATACTTCTAATTTACTTATTTTGCCTAATTTCATTGTATAAGCTTGAATGCAATGTTAAATGGTGTCCTTGTCTTATTCCTGACTCTAAGAGGATTGCCTTCATTCGTTTACCATTAAGTACGACTGGTAACCTCCGTCAGCTCTATTTCAAAAAACGTCTGAGTTGCTGACTACTTCCAACCACCTCCTTAGTTATCATTCTGGTTCAAGCTACTTGAACCACTTGGTGTATTGCTCTAGCTTGCTAATTGGTCTTCCTGCATCCACCAGTGCTTTCCTAAATTCTGCTCAACATAGCAGCTAGAGTGATCCTATTTAAATGAAAATCAGATTATTTCAGAATAAATAATCTTCACTCAGAACCTACTACTGGCTTCCCAGCCCATGCAGAGTGAAAGACAAAGTTCTCACAAGGTGTGGCAAGCCTGGGGATGCCCCTTTTAGATCTACCCTCAAGGAAGAATTCACTGTCCTGTGGCAAGGAGTGTGGTTAGCTGACAGCCTCCAGTGTGGTTGGCTCCTTCAGAGTGGCCTTGGCTATCTAGCCAAGACCATGCTCTTTGAGGGGTGGCTTCCAACTAACTGTGTGAGCGAAGAGATGGTACAAGGGTATAGCCATTTCTGCCCAAGGCAGGCCTCTTCTAATGGACGATCCTTGCTCTGGAGTTCCCCAGAGAGTTTGCAGTTTACATAATGGTCCCTGCCCAGTCCTTTCATAGGCATTACACCCTAATAAACCTTTGCACTCCTAATTCCATGTTAGCATCTGCTTCTGGAAGATGAGTCCCTAGAACCTCCAGCACTCTCCCCCATCTCTGCTGCTGCCCCACTGCCTCCTTGTCATTCCGCAAATAGGACAGTCCTGCGTCAGAACCTGCATGCTTAGCATGTCCTCTGCTTGCAGCCACCTTCGCCAGATATCTGCGCATCACACTTCCTCATAGCCTTTGGCGCTGTACCCTTCTCTGATTCCCTGTTTAAAATGGCACACAGACCGCATTACACACACTCACCCTATCCCACTTCCCTGTTTTATTTTCTCTAGAGCATTTATCACCACTGAATATATTACATGTTCTACTGTTTATCTTGTTATTTTCAATCTCCCCCACCCCACTAGAATGTAAGCTTCATAAGGCTTCTGTTTCTTTCCCCCCTTTTAAAAAATTTCTGTTTTTCAGCATCTAGAAAAATACTGGGTACCCACACATGCTACAACCAATGGAGAAATGCTTTCCGCCTTGCTTCTTCCTTCTGTTCCTTCTAATTTTGTATAGGTTTGTGCGATGCTTTCTTTCCCTGGTTTGTTCCCTGAGCTGTGCCAGTTCCCATTTCCCCTCTCCCTATTTCTGGCCATCCCCTTCTGACGTCTCTTCCCTGAGTTCCTGTATTTCCATATTGCTAATCTTCCTTGGCACTTCTATGAAATTATTTTTTTCTGAATTCATGGAGGGATGTTGAGTCACAGTTTTCATCTGTTCCAACACCATTTTTCTGAGCGCTCTTCATTTGATGGAAAGTTTCATTGCCCCTTCACTTGTTTTTCTCATAGTATTTTTGTGTGGAAGACATATCTGCTTCTTTTTTGCTATTTACATTAGAAAGAATTGGCTTTTTCTGGGACCTGTTATCTGCAGAGGGTTTCTGCAGGATGTGGCAGGGTGTGTGTGGTGGGAGGAAGAGTGGGCTTGGACCAGGGTAAGATCTAAACTTTGAAATGTAAGGACTCCCTACTCCCTTGCCTTCAAATAAAGCTTCTCTTTGGGGTAGTCAGGCCTTCTTTTCCCTCTTCAAACTGAATCAAGTTGAGGAAGTCTTCTGCTACCATCTCTTTTCTCCTCAGCTACTCTTCCAATGGTGGTCTCCAAGAAACATGGCCTTGTCTATCAAGGTAACACCATCACCTTGAAAAGGTTTGTTTTCTGCTGTGTTTCCAGAGACCTAGCCACTCTGGGCCCCTTGGGTCCTTGCAGTGACTTTTCTCTCCACTTCCCCCATCATCCATGCTCTATTCTACCTCAGGTCAGCCCTTGGCAGTTCCCAGGTCAGTGCCATGCCCTGTCTTTAAGAAGGACTTCTGAGATTGGCCTTCTTGGTCTCCCTCACCCTTCATTACTCTCTCCAGCCTCCCCTGTTCCGGCTCTTCGTGGTTTTATCCAACACTCTACCTGTCTCCATGGATTTTGCCAGCACTTCCACAAAACTTGGAGTGTGTGATTTTTTTTTAAACTGAAAACATATTTCTTGTTGTTCTATTTCTTTTTTAGAAAAAGAAGAAAGATTCATAATTTAATTGTAGTTGTTTATACTAGAAGATTTACTTTACTTCTAACTGATTAAAATAGCATGAAATACACCCTCCCCTGCATATCACCATCTAAAATTATTCTTAGAAGTAAAATAAAATTTACCTCATACTTGCTCAACTCTCGAATTAACTTTTTTTCTTTGGCAACAAATTCCTCTTCCTCTTGTTTTAATTCTAATGTAAGTTGTTCGATCTGTGCCAAAAACTCATTGATCTCATTTTCTCTAAAACTGGTCTAATTAGGGGAAATAAATGAGGATTTATCATTTGTTTTGTAGCAGTCAGCATTAAATTTTCAAACAGCCAGGTAAATTAATATTTCTGTGCATGAGACTTGGCTCTGATTTCAGGTTATATTATTTCTCAGTAACCACTGAGGAGGATCTTCTTCTCCCTCCAGAGATTGGTTTCTTCACCAAACAATAGCTATAAATGACTTGAGGAAATGGGGAGTGGGAAGAGTAGGGGATGGAGGGTAGGCACAAGATGAATATAGGAGCTAAATAAATGATGTTTAGTCTCCTTATTTTTAGATAGTTTCCCTAAACACTATCTTCAAGTTTCAGTTACATGCTTCAAAAGCATATTCTGGACAGAATTGCTACTTTGCTAAATTCCTATAGTTAATACAGAGCAATTGTCTACATTTCTCAAGAAAGTTACATAATTCACTCTAAACATGAAATCAGCAGAAAGCAAAATACCTTTTAATAAGGTAAGGTTTGATGAAATATTGAAGAATTACTGACATGCAATATAGGGAGTAAATACTAAGTTCCTTGAGTTCCTTTACCTCTTGTAATAATTCACTGCGTCTAAGTTCAGCATCCTGAATTTTATCCATAATTTCTTGTATTTCAGCCCTTATCATGTTGGTCCAACGTGCATGTTTTTTTAGCAAACAAGCTATTTTCCACTGAGTTACAATACTAGAGATTAGAACAAAAAGAATTATCATCAAACTGACATCACAGTTTACTGAAAAGATGAAGGAATTCAAAACAAAACAAATCCTACTATGATTATATAAAATTGTTCGTGCTATTGATGTTGCAGACTAGACATATTAGCTGAAAAAATGAGACAAAACATTAACTGCCTTAATGCCATCTCTGCAAGTTGCTTCACATTAAGTTGTGTCAGTACATCTAACAGGACAGTGGACAAACCACAATTTACCTAGAGCTTGCCTCCTCTAGGTAAAGGATAGAAATGCGGAAGCCTCAGGGGTGTTGGAAAAAGAAGAGTCCCAGACAGAAATAGTAAAAGAATTACCTAAACTACTCAAAGTGCTAGTAAGAAATTTCAAGCTTCTAGGTTCTCAAATTTTTCTCTCCACTTTAACATAAAAAAGCTATATAACTAGAGAAGAGTAAAAATGTACAATTGGAGTCTTAAAAATAATATTATAATAATGACAACAATAATAAAATATAGCTATGCTTCTGCAAGTGCTTTCTAGGTGTCAGGCACTGAGCTACATACTGTACATCAATCATCTCATTTACCATTCACAACAACCTTACAAGGCGGGTGCTACTATCATTCCTCACTTTATAGGGATGGGAGCAGAGAGATTATTAAATAACTTAGCCCCGGTCACAGAGCCAATAAGAGGCAGAGCAAACAAAGCAGTCCATCTGCAGAGCCTGTGTAATTAACCACTCTCCTCTGTCCCTACACATCACCTTCCTTACTGGTGCAAAGAGGCATTGCACATCTTGGCAATTTTACTCTTTGGTGACTTGCCATGATTAGAATGAAAAACTCTGTTTCTGTTCAATGCCAAAAAAATCAAACTAACAAACACATCTAGATCCAAGAAAACTCACAATTTAATTTGGGAAAATAATTTCCTTGGACTCTAGCAAGCACTCTGATATCCTTCCAACTTTGGGGCATTGTTAATTAAGATAACATATACTGAGATTGGTTCAAGATGGCAGAGTAGAAGGACATGCACTCACTCCCTCTTGTGAGAGCACCGGAATCACAATCAACTGCTGAACAATCATCAACAGGAAGACACTGGAACTCACCAAAAAAGATACCCCACATCAAAGACAAACGAGAAGCCACAATGAGACAGTAGGAGGGGCGCAATCAAATAAAATCAAATCCCATAACCATCGGGTGGGTGACTCACAAACTGGAGAACAATTATACTACAGAAGTCCACCCACTGGAGTGAAGGTTCTGAGCCCCACGTCAGGCTTCCCAAGCTGGGGATATGGCAATGGGAGGAGGAATTCCTAGAGAATCTGACTTTGAAGGCGAGTGGGATTTGATTACAGGACTTCAACAGGACTGGAGGAAGCAGAGACTGCACTGTGGAATGGCACACACAAACAAGTGTGCACATCAGGACTCAGGGGAAAGGAGCAGTGACCCCATAGGAGACTGAACCAGACCCACCTGCTAGTGTTGGAGGGTCTCCTCCAGAGGTGGGGGGGGGGATGTGGCTCACTGCAGGGACAAGGACAATGGCAGCAGAAGTTCTAGGAAGTACTCCTTGGTGTGAGCCCTCCCAGAGTCCACCATTAGCCCAAACAAAGAGCCTGCAGGCTCAGGCTCTGGGTCACCTCAGGCCAAACAACCAACAGGGAGGGAACTCAGCCCCACCCATCAGCAGACAAGGGGATTAAAGTTTTACTGAGCTCTGCCCATCAGAGTAACAACCAGCTCTCCCCACCACCAGTCCCTCCCATCAGGAAGTTTGCACAAGCCTCTTAGATAGCCTCTTCACCAGAGGACAGACAGCAGAAACAAGAAGAACTACAATCCTGAAGCCTGTGGAATGAAAACCACATTCACAGAAAGACAGACAAAATGAAAAGGCAGGGCTTCCCTGGTGGCGCAGTGGTTGAGAGTCCACCTGCCGATACAGGGGACATGGGTTCGTGCCCCGGTCTGGGAGGATCCCACATGCTGCGGAACGGCTGGGCCCGTGAGCCATGGCCACTGAGCCTGCGCGTCCAGAGCCTGTGCTCTGCAATGGGAGAGGCCACAACAGTGAGAGGCCCACGTACCGCAAAAAAAAAAAAAGAAAAAAGAAAAGGCAGAGGACTATGCACCAGATGAAGGAACAAGATAAAACCCCAGAAAAACAACTAAACAAAGTGGAGATAGGCAACCTTCCAAAAAAAGAATTCAGAATAATGATAGTGAAGATGATCCAGAACCTTGGAAAAAGAATGGAGGCAAAGATCGAGAAGATGCAAGAAATGTTTAACAAAGACTTAGAAGAATTAAACAAAAAACACCTAGAAGAATTAAAGAACAAACAAACAGAGATGAACAATACAATAACTGAAATGAAAAATACACTAGAAGGAATCAATAGCAGAATAACTGGGGCAGAAGAACGGATAAGTGACCTGGACGACAGAATGGTGGAATTCACTGCCACGGAACAGAATAGAGAAAAAAGAATGAAAAGAAATAAAGACAGCCTAAGAGACCTCTGGGACAACATTAAATGCAACATTCACATTACAGGGGTCCCAGAACGAAAAGAGAGAGAGAAAGGACCTGAGAAAATATTTGAAGAGATTATAGTCGAAAACTTCCCTAACATGGGAAAGGAAATAGCCACCCAAGTACAGGAAGCACAGAGTCCCAGGCAGGATAAACCCAAGTGAAACACACTGAGACACATAGTAATCAAACTGACAGAAATTAAAGACAAAGAAAAACTATTAAAAGCAACAAGGGAGAAAGGACAAATAACATATAAGGGAAGTCCCATAAGGTTAACAGCTGATTTCTCAGAAGAAACTCTACAAGCCAGAAGGGAGTGGCATGATATACTTAAACTGATGAAAGGGAAGAACGTACAACCAAGATTAATCTACCTGGCAAGGATCACATTCAGATTCAATAGAGAAATCAAAAGCTTTACAGACAAGCAAAAGCTAAGAGAATTCAGCACCACCAAACCAGCTCTACAACAAATGCTAAAGGAACTTCTCTAAGTGGGAGAAGAAAAAGACCTACAAAAATAAACCCAAAACAATTAAGAAAATGGTAATAGGAACATACATATCAATAATTACCTTAAATGTGAATGGATTAAATGCTCCAACCAAAAGACACAGGCTCGCTGAATGTATAGAAAAACAAGACCCATATATATATATATGCTGTCTACAAGAGACCCACTTCAGACCTAGGGACACATACAGACTGAAAGTGAGGGGATAGAAGAAGATATTCCATGCAAATGGAAATCAAAAGAAAGCTGGAGAAACAATACTCATATCAGATAAAACAGACTTTAAAATAAAGAATGTTACAAGAGACAAGGAAGGACACTACATAATGATCAAGTGATCCATCCAAGAAAATATAATAATTATAAATATATATGCACCAACATAGAAGCACCTCAATACGTAAGGCCATGCTAAGAGCTATAAAAGAGGAAATTGACAATAACACAGTAATAGTGGGGGACTTTAACACCTCACTTACACCAATGGACACAACATGGACACATCATCCAGACAGAAAACTAATAAGGAAACAGAAGCTTTAAATGACACAATAGACCAGAGAGATTTCATTGATATTTATAGGACATTCCATCCAAAAACAGCAGATCACACTTTCTTCTCAAGTGCACAAAGAACATTCTCCAGGATAGATCACATCTTGGATCACAAATCAAGCCTCAGTAAATATAAGAAAATTGAAATCATATCAAGCATCTTTTCTGACCACAATGTTATGAGATTAAAATCAATTACAGGGAAAAAAACATAAAGAACACAAACACATGGAGGCTAAATAATATGTTACTAAATAACCAAGGGATCACTGAAGAAATCAAAGAGGAAATAAAAAATACCTAGAGATAAATGACAACAAAAACACAATGATCCAAAACCTATGGGATGCAGAAAAAGCAGTTCTAAGAGGGAAGTTTACAGCAACACAATCCTACCTCAAGAAACAAGAAACATCTCAAATAAACAAACTAACCTTACACCTACAGGAACTAGAGAACACAGAACAAACAAAACCCAAAGTTAGTAGAAGGAAAGAAATTATAAAGTCAGAGCAGAAATAAATGAAATAGAGACAAAGAAAACAATAGCAAAGATCAATAAAACTAAAAGCTGGTTCTTTGAGAAGATAAACAAAATTGATAAACCTTTAGCCAGATTCACCAAGAAAAAGAGGGAGAGGACTCGAGTCAATAAAATTAGAAACAAAAAGGAGAAGTTACAATGGACACCACAGAAATACAAACCATCCTAAGAGACTACTACAAGCAACTCTATGCCAATAAAATGGATGACCTGGAAGAAATTCTTAGAAAGATATAACCTTCCAAGACTGAACCAGGAAGAGATAGAAAATATGAACAGACCAAGTAATGAAATTGAAACTATGATTTAAAATCTTACAACAAACAAAAGCCCAGGACCAAATGGCTTCACAGGTGAATTCTATAAAGCATTTAGACAAGGGCTAACACCCATCTGTCTCAAACTCTTCCAAAAAACTGCAGAGGAAGGAACACTCCCAAATTAATTCTACAAGGCCATTATCACCCTGATACCAAAACCAGACAAAGATACTACAAAAAAAGAAAATTACAGACCAATATCACTGATGAATATAGATGCAAAAATCCTCAAGAAAATACTAGCAAACAGAATCCAACAACACATTAAAAGGATCATACACCATGATCAAGTGGGAATTATCCCAGGGATGCAAGGATTCTTCAATATAGGCAAATCAATCAATGTGATACACCATATTAGCAAACTGAAGAAAAACCATATGACCATCTCAAAAGATGCAGAAAAAGCTTTTGACAAAATGCATCACCCATTTATGATAAGAACTCCCCAGAAAGTGGGCATAGAGGGAACCTACCTCAACATAATAAAGGCCATATACAACAAACCCACAGCAAACATCATTCTCATTGGTGAAAAACTGAAAGCATTTCCTCTAAGATCAGGGACAAGACAAGGATGTCCACTCTCATCACTATTATTCAACATAGTTTTGGAAGTCCTAGCCACAGCAATCAGAGAAGAAAAAGAAATAAAAGGAATACAAATTGGAAAAGAAGAAGTAAAATTGTCACTGTTTGCAGATGCCATGGTACTATACATAGAGAATCCTAAAGATGTCACAAGAAAACTACTAGAGCTAATCAATGGATTTGGTAAAGTTGCAGGACACAGAATTAATGCACAGAAATCTCTTGCATTCCTATATGCTAACAACAAGGTATCAGAAAGAGAAAGTAAGGAAACAATACCATTCACCATTGCAACAAAAAGAATAAAATACTTAGGAATGAACCTACCTAAGGAAGTAAAATACCTGTACTCAGAAAACTATAAGATACTGATGAAAGAAATCAAAGATGACACAAACAGATGGAGAGATACACCACGTTCTTGGATTGGAAGAATCAATATTGTGAAAATGACTATACTACCCAAAGCAATCTACAGATTCAATGCAATCCCTAGCAAACTAGCAATGGCATTTTTTTTACAGAACTAGAACAAAAAATCTTAAAATATGTATGGCGACACAAAAGACCCTGAATAGCCAAAGCGATCCTGAGGGAAAAAAACGGAGCTGGAGGAACCAGACTCCCTGTCTTCAGACTATACTACAAAGCTACAGTAATCAAGACAATATTGTACTGGCACAAAAACAGAAATACAGATCAATGGAACAGGATAGAAAACCCAGAGATAAACCCAAATACCTGGTCAGCTAATCTATGACAAAGGAGGCAAGGATATACAATGGAGAAAAGACAGTCTCTTAAATAAGTGGTGCTGGGAAAACTGGACAGCTACATGTAAAAGAATGAAATTATAACACTCCCTAACACCATACACAATAATAAACTCAAAATGGCTTAAAGACCTAAATGGAAGACCGGACACTATAAAACTCTTAGAGGAAAACAGGAAGAACACTCTTTTTTTTTTTTTTTGCGGTACGCGGGCCTCTAACTGTTGCGGCCTCTCCCATTGTAGAGCACAGGCTCCAGGCACGCAGGCTCAGCGGCCATGGCTCACGGGCCTAGCCGCTCCACAGCATGTGGGATCTTCCCGGACCAGGGCACGAACCCGTGTCCCCTGCATCGGCAGGCGGACTCTCAACCACTGCGCCACCAGGGAAGCCCCAGGAAGAACACTCTTTGACATAAATCACAGCAAGATCTTTTTTGATCCACCTCCTAGAGTAATGGAAATAAAAACAAAAATAAACAAATGGGACCTAATGAAACTTCAAAGCTTTTGCGCAGCAAAGGAAACTATAAACAAGACAAGAAGGCAACTCTCAGAATGGGAGAAAATATTTGCAAATGAATCAATGGACAAAAGATTAATCTCCAAACTATATAAACAGCTCATGCAGCTCCATATTAAAGAAACACACAACCCAATCCAAAAATGGGCAGAAGAACTAAATAGACATTTCTCCAAAGAAGACATACAGATGGCCAAGAAGCACATGAAAAGCTGCTCAACATAACTAATTATTAGAGAAATGCAAATCAAAACTACAATGAGGTATCACCTCACACCAGTTAGAATGGGCATCATCAGAAAATCTACAAACAACAAATGCTGGAGAGGGTGTGGAGAAAAGGGAACCCTCTTGGTCTGTTGGTGGGAATGTAAATTGATACAGCCACTATGAAGAACAGTATGGAGGTTCCTTAAAAAACTGAAAATAAAATTACCATATGACACAGCAATCCCACTACTGGGCATATACCTAGAGAAAACCATAATTCAAAAAGACACATGTACCCCAATGTTCATTGAAGCACTATTTACAATAGCCAGGTCATGGAAGCAACCTAAATGCCCATCAACAGACGAATGGATAAAGAAGATGTGGTACATATGTACAATGGACAGACAAATGGATAAAGAAGATATGGAACATATACACAATGGAATATTACTTAGTCATAAAAAGGAACGAAACTGGGTCATTTGTAGAGATGTGGATGGACCTAGAGACTGTCATACAGAGTGAAGTAAGTCAGAAAGAGAAAAACAAATATTGAATATTAACATATATATGTGAAATCTAGAAAAACGGTACCGATGAACTGGTTTGCAAGGCAGAAATAGAGACACAAATGTAAAGAATAAACGTATGGACACCAAGGGGGGAAAGCTGAGGGGGCGTGCAGGGGGTGGGATGAATTAGGAGATTGGGATTGAAATAAATACAGTAATATGTATAAAATACATAACTAATAAGGACCTGCTGTATAAAAATATAAATAAATTAAATTTTAAAAAGATAACATATACTACTTATAATATAAATGAATTTTCTTTTTTTACCATCTCTGATTTTTTCTTTCCAGGTTATCGTTCAGGACTTTTATTTGTTTCCGATATACTTCCTTTGTTGCTCTAAAAACAAGAAAAATATATTGGATTTTGCATTTGTGGGAGCTGTTAAAATGTATAGTAGACTGTATGTATAATTCACATGCACAGTAAGGCTACCATCTAATTGGGAGACAAAACAAACCTTGTGAAACAACAGATTTTATTGGCAGACTAATGGAAAGACAATTACAATTTTTGCAAGTGTAAACTGATTTTGCAAGTATTGAAGCCAAGGATAGGGAAGAACGGATTTTGGCGAGGCAGTTGAGGAAAGGTTATTAGAGGATAATGTTTAATAGAGGGAGGAACATGGATTGCCAGAATGGAGGTGCAATCTCACCAAGGAAAGGACATCATCATATGCAAAGAAACAGAGGAAAGGAGCAGCAAGTCAGGACTCTTGTGACTAAGGCAAACTTGCTGCATACAGAGGACATGAAGGGAAGTAACACTGTGACATAGGAAGGGTTAAGGTCAACAAATTGGTGAGGAACTCTGGGTTCTAGACTGAGTTCTGATTTGCTGCCATGTATAATTTAGAAAGCCAATAAATATTCTTGAATTAGGGATAAGTGGTAACTAAGGATGGAAGATTTGCTTGTGAATCTGGGATGGAGGGGAATGTGAAGGCTGTAACAGAGGTATTAAACACAGCTTATGTACAACTCAGTGCCTGTCTCTCCTTTCAGTGAAAGATTCGATGATGATGACTTTTCTGGACTGTAAAAGAGAGTCAATTATGAACCTCCTTTTCTATAGTATATTAGAAATTGGCATAGATTTGTTGCTACCATTTATTAAAAAGATAAATGTAGAGGAATGAAGATTAAAATTTTCAAAGGCAACAAACATACCGATGAAGCTCACTGAGTCTGATAAGTCCTTCTTCCATATTTTTGATGTCTACTTTTCTTTTTGATAGGACGTTTTCTTTCTGAGATATAAATGCCAGTTGTTTCTGATTTCTACCATGAAAAAAACAGAGTAATCATATATTTAAGGTTGAAATAATCATTTTTAACTCCTCAGCATAAGAAAATATGCAACCACAAACAAGAATTTAAAAAGTAGTTTGGAAAGTTTAGTTCATGAACTGCTTATCAAATAAATTAGTAAAAATAGAAACAAAGTCTTTTTGCTAGTGGTGGCTAAATTTATGAAAATCTCTAAGCCATGAAAGGAACATTAACTGCAATAGTAACCATAAAAGTACAAGAACAATTCTATAGTATTTTATCATGCTGAGTGGGTGTGTCTCTTTTAATGAATTTATCAGTTCTGTTATTTTGTAAAAGGTGAAGGAATCAATCAGACCGACTTTGGATAGTGGTCTACCTCTTCCTAGTAGTGTGACCTTGAAAAGAGACTTCACCTGTGGATGAGCCTCAGTTTCCCCATCCATAAAGTGGGGATCACAATACCTATCTCACTGGTTTTAAGGATTAAACGAGATGTGAAGTGACAACGCCAGTGGGTGGCACTCATGAGGCATTTTGTAAAGAGTGGTTATTTTTCATCTCTAACTTACAGAGAGAATAATGGGAAGTTTATGATTTTGTTCAAATTTCTAGACATTGATAGGAATGTGCCTGTAACAGGAAGTACTTTATCTAAGTGTCTCATCTTCTTCAAAACTGCTATGGACTGAATTGTGTCCCCCCACAAATTCATATGCTGAAGCCCTAGGCCCCAGTGAGATAGTATGTGAAGATGGGGCCTTTGGGAGGTGATTAGATTTATATGAGGTCATGAGGATGGAGTCCTCATGGTGAGATTAGTGCCCTCATAAGCAGAGACACCAGACAGCTCTCTCTCTCTCGCTCTCTCTCTCTCTCTTTCAGCTCTATGAGGACATAGCAAGAAGGTGGTTGGCCATCTGCAAGTCAGGAAGAGAGCTCTCACCAGAACCTGACCATGCTAGCACCCTGATCTCAGATGTCCAGCCTCCAGACCTATGAGAAATCAATTTCTGTTGTTTAAGCCTCCTGGTCTATGGTAATTTGTTATGGTAGCCCAAGCTGAAGAAGACAAAAACCAACAACAGTAGTAAATGTTTTATTGTTACAATTATTTGTCATCAGCACATTTTGTGATTCAAACTGATAACTTAGTATGGATCTGAGGAAAGTTTTTGCCTGAAGAATACTATTAGTAGACTATTCAATTGGATGATACAAAATGATTGCAATAACTCTCTGCATCCTAAATGCTGCAACAGTGACCATAAATTCAGCTTCACATAAGTGGGCCTGGACACCATAATTACACTTCCATGTGATTTAACTTTGAGCGTAGTAATGTATTACTACTTACATAACTCATACTTGCAAGATGTTATTCTGTAATACTCATTAGGAAAACACTGGTGAAAGCCCACTACCTGCTAAGCAATGGACAAGATCCTGAAGATACAGTGCTGAGTAAGACAGAGCAACTGCTCTGATCTGTTCATAGTTCAGTGGGACAAAGGGATTTGTACCCAGCTGACAACAATGCAGTGACTGATAAAAAGGAATGACCTCAGAGGGACGTTCCAGAAGGATCATTGTGGTGAGAGGGAGGTGGATAAGTTAGGAGTGGTAAAACAGAAAGTGGGAAGAACTTATGAGAGGCAAGCCAAACCAAAGAAGCTAAAAGGGGTGAAAAGAGTGGAGTTGGAGAGGAGGATAGGATATTTTTGAGGAATATTTGCGAGGTGGAATTGACAAGCCTTGGTGCTTGAATGGAGTCCTAGTAAAAGATAGGGGTTTCCGTGAATAATTTCCCAGTCTCTGGGTTAGGGGATTGTGTCAATGACAAAACCTTTTTCTGAGAAAGGAAATGTAGGTGCAAAGCCAGTTTCTGATGAAGGTAGATCTCATAGTTTCTCTAGGCAGTCTCATGGGGTAAAAGCATGATTATTCTTTCAAGAATCTGATTTAGAAGTAAAAATAACAGATTTGGCGTTTATGGATTTGATCTGACCCATATGAGGAAAGCATTATTCAGTATATAAAGAGGCGCATTAGGAGTGTATTTACAATTGGGTAAAGAACACTTCATTGTTATCAATAGATTTTAAACTAGGATAAGCTTAAGTGGAGAAGTAACCCATAACTAAAGCATGTTGAGTCATGTATGGATTATGGATAGAAACATACTCAGAATAAATTTTCTGTTTCTGCATAAAAACTTTATCCTCCTCATTTAGGACAATCTTATATTGTCTCGAAACAGTATGCAGTTTCTCTCGTAGATCTTTGTTCTCGAAATGACATTTGTGTAGCTTTTCAGCCATCTAGAAAAAAAAGGAATTGAAGTAGAGGATTTGTTTCACGGCTCTTTTGGTGGGCAACTCTCTAGAACACTGGGTATATTATTTAACATACAATGACTATGCCTTAAATGTTGAGTGATCTAATTCTATATCAAATATGTAACTGTACATTTTGGGGCCTCTTCTATAAATTATGACAAATGTGTAGAAAAATAGTAAACACTGATGCCATAAAGTAAAGTAATAAACCATAGTAAAGTAGTAAACCATAAAGTAATAATTGATATTAAAATAAGAATTGGGATTAATAAACTGGGATCATTCAACAAGATCTGTATGTCCTTTTCCCAGAAGATAAACTACACCAGGGAAAAGAAAATGTAACATCCATAGGAACTCTTGTTCAAAACCTCTTTGACTGGATATCATGCTTAACTTTTGTTAAATATTTCTATTCAAGGACAAAAGATAGTACCCATTAGTGTTCTGAATGAGGTGAGAACTTTGTGCTTGGATGTCTCTACTGAATTGCTTCAAATGAGGTAAGAAAATTAGGTTAGGTAGGAATGGTGGGCTAAGGATCACTAAAAGAGATGGATGAAAAGAGTTCTTAAAAGTGTTGCAGAGGGGCTTCCCTGGTGGTGCAATGGTTAAGAATCCGCCTGCCAATGCAGGGAACATGAGTTTGAGCCCTGGTCCGGGAAGATCCCACACGCCGCAGAGCAACCAAGCCCTTGCGCCACAACTACTGAGCCCACCTTCCACAACTACTGAAGCCCGTGTGCCTAAAGCCCATGCTCCGCAACAAGAGAAGCCACTGCAGTGAGAAGCCTGCGCACCACAATGAAGAGTAGCCCTCACTCGCCAGAACTAGAGAAAGCCCGCGCATAGCAACAAAGACCCAACGTAGCCAAAAATAAATAAATAAAACAAATAAATTTATTTTTAAAAAAGTGTTGCAGAACTAACAAGATAATGAGGAATTAGTAAGCCTAATTCTACAAGAAAGCAAGAATCCAGACTGGTAAACATAGCACTGAAAACTCCTTTTACTCTGAGGACATTTACTGATATAGAAGAAGCCACTTGGAATCTGAGATTTGGTTCTCTTACATGACAAGGGGGACAAAAGTCAACACTTAGAGCTTATCCAGGTGTTACGCCTTATAAACCTCCTGCCACATTAGTCTGGGATTCCAGAGAGCTTCACCCTCTGAAGAAGAGTGAATTAGAAGCTAACAAGCTATGGTCCAGCCTGGCTTAGATCACCAGGGAACCTAAAGGTGGATTAAGGAGGTTTGGGACTGTTAACGTCCCAGGTATCTGACAGAAGTGAATGAAATCTCTTCCTGAGAAATACACTGTCATCCTAGACCTCAAATTGTTTCTACAAACACCTTTTTTGAAGTACAATGTCCAGTGTACAGTTTTCCAACAGAAGGAAACAAGACAGCATGAACAAAAATTGGCAGAAACAATAGATGACAGAACCAGTCCTACAAAAATACCAGGTATTGGAAATAGACACTGAAATATAAAAATACTGTATTTATTATGATCAAAGAATACTAGACATGCTTGAAAAATATGGCAAGGAATTGGAAAAAATAAAGAGCAACAAAGCAGATTTGAAAATTACCAGTTGAAAAATACAACAACCAAAATTAAGAATTGAAATAAGACCATTCTGCCCAGAATGCAGCAGGGGTAGACAAAAAGTAGAAAATAGAGAAGAGCGAGTAAGATACAGACAGGATATTAGTACACATAAGTGTGTTCATATAACTGGAGTCTCAGAAAAACAGGAAAAAGCATGGGACAAAAGAAATATGTGAACAGATAATGGCTAAGAATTTTGCAGAACTTACAAAATACAGCAACTCACAGATTTAAGATGCCCAATAAATCCCAAGCAGGATAAATAAAAACTTGGACATATCATAGTGAAATTGAATAACTAGGTCAAAGGGAACAAAAAAGACCTAAGATAAATGAAAGACATGCTGTGTTCATGGATTGGAAACTTCAATATTGTTAAAACATAAAATCCTCCCCAAATTAATCTATAGATTTAATTCAACCCCAATCAAAATCCAAACAGGCTTTTGGGCAGGACTTGACAGACTGAAATTCAAAGGGCCAAGAATAATGGAAGCAATCTTGTAGAAGAACAAAGTTAAAGGATTTTTACTACTAACTATAAAGGCTTATTTTAAAGCTACTAATTAAGAGTGCATGGTTTTAATGTGAGAAGAGATGAAGTCCAAATGAATAAAATAGATGCTACAGATTCACACATACATTTATAATATATTTATGATCCACAGTTGATTTATGACAAAAGTGCCACTGAAATATAGTGGAGGAAAGTACTATCTTTTCATTTAACAGTGCTAGTTAATTGGACAATCTTATGTGAAAGTATGAATCTGGACTACCATTTCACAGAACACACACACACACACACACACACACACACACACACATTCCAGATGGCTTGCAGTACTTAACGTGAAAAAGCAAACACTAAAGCTTCTACAAGATCACGTAGGAGAATATCCTCAAGACATAGGACATGAAAAGCATAAGCCAAAAAGGAAAAGATTGATAAACTATACTTCATTAAAATTAATAAACTACATTTATCAAAAGATAGATATGTACATGAAGACTGTACACTTACAGTAAATATTCTGTTCTGTATATGGGTAATATTTCATAATAAAAGTTAAAGTTAGAATAGAATTTTGTGTCATTGTTGAACTTGCCTCCTATAACTCATGAGAATTAAGATTGGATGTCAGGAAGAGTTCAGTTTTCATCCAACACTTATTTGTGGTCTTTTTGACGATAGCCATTCTGACAGGTGTGAGGTGATATCTCATTGTGGTTTTGATTTGCATTTCCTTGATGATTGGTGATGTTGAGAATCTTTTCATGTGCTTGTTTGCCACCTGTATGTCTTTGGAAATATGTGTATTCAGATCCACTGCCCATTGTTTAATAAGGTTGTTTTTTAGATGTTGAGTTGTATGAGTTCTTTGCATATTTTGAATATTAACCCCATGTCAGATATATTGTTTGCCAATATTTTCTCCCATTCAGTAGGCTGTCTTTTCGTTTTGTTAATAGTTTTCTTTACTGTGCAAAAGCCTTTTAGTTTGATGTAGTCCCATTTATTTTTGCTTTTGTTTCTATTGCCTGAGGAGACATACCCAATAAAAATCACTAAGACTGTTGTCAAAGAGTGTACTGCCTATGTTTTCTTCTATGAGTTTTATGATTTCAGGTTTTATATCTAAGTCTTTAACCCATTTTGAGTTGATTTTTGTATATGATGTGAGGAAGTAGTCCAATTTGATTCTTTTGCATGTAGCTATCCAGTTTTCCCAACATTATTTATTAGAAAGGCTATCTTTTCCCCATTGTATATTCTTGCCTTCTTTGTCATAGATTAATAAACTATATATGCAGGTTTAGTTCTGTGCTCTCTAGTCTGTTCCATGATCTATGTGTCTGTTTCTGTGCCAGTACCATTCCATTTTCATTACTGTAGCTTTGTAGTATAGTTTGAAATCAGAAACTGTAATACCTCCAGCTTTGTTCTTCTTCCTCAAGATTGTTTTGGCTATTCAGGGTATTTTGTGTTTTGGTAAAAATTTTAGAATTATTTGTTCCAATTTTGTGAAAAATATCACTGGAATTTTAATAGGGATTGGATTGAATCTGTAGATTGTCTTGGGGAATATGGTTATTTTAACAATTTTAATTCTCCCAATGGTAAAATATGTATCTTTCCATTTGTGTCATATTCAATTTTTTCATTACTGTCTTATAGTTTTCCAAGTACAGGTCTTTTACCTCCTTAGTTAGATTTATTCTTAGATATTTTATTCTTTTGAATCAATTATAAATGGAATTGTTTCCTTAATTCCTCTTTCTGATAGTTTGTCATTAGTGTGTAGAAATGCAACAGATTTCTGTATATTAATTTTGTATGCTGCAACTTTACTGAATTCACTGATGAGCTCTAGTGGTTTTTTGTTTTGGTGGTGGCTTTGGGATTTTCTATGTATAGTATCATGTCATCTGTAAACATTGACAGTTTTACTTCTTCCTTTTCCACTTGGATTATTTTTCTTGTCTGAAAAAGACTGTGGCTAGGATTTCTAATACTATGTTGAATAAAAGGGGTGACAGTGGGCAGCTTTATCCTGTTCTTGATTGTAGAAGAAACACTTTCAACTTTTGACCTTTGAGTATGATTTTAGCTATAAGCTTGTTGTATATGGCCTCTATTATGTTGAGGTATGTTCCCTCTACACCCACTTTGAGTTTTTTTTAATAAATGGGTGCTGAATTTTGTCAAAAGCTTTTTCTGATCTATCAAAATAATCATATGATTTTAAAAATTATTTATTTATTTATTGTTTATTTATTTATTTTTGGCTGCACTGGGTCTTTGTTGCTGTGTGTGGGCTTTCTCTAGTTGTGGCGAGCGGGCGCTACTCTTCATTGCAGTGCACAGGCTTCTCATTGCACTGGCTTCTCTTGTTGTGGAGCACAGGCTCTAGGCACTCAGGCTTCAGTAGTTGTGGCACATGGCCTCAGTAGTTGTGGCTCGCGGGCTCTAGAGCACAGGCTCAGTAGTTGTGGCACATTGGCTTAGTTGCTCTGTGGCATGTGGGATTTTCCCAGACCAGGCCTTGAACCCATGTCCCCTGCATTGGCAGGCGGATTCTTAACCACTGCACCACCCGGGAAGTCCCAATCATATGATTTTTATTTTCAATTTATTAAAGTGGTATATCACATTGATAGATTTGCAGATACTGAACTATCCTTACATCCCTGGGATAAATCTTGCTTGAGCATAGTGTATGATCCTGTTAATGTATTATTGAATTCAGTGTGCTAATATATATATATTTTTTTTTGCGGTACGTGGGCCTCTCACTGTGGTGGCCTCTCCCGTTACAAAGCACAGGCTCCGGATGCGCAGGCTCAGTGGCCATGGCGCATGGACCCAGCCGCTCCGCGGCATGTTGGATCCTCCAGGACCAGGGCATGAACCCCTGGCCCCTGCATCGGCAGGCAGACTCTCAACCACTGTGCCACCAGGGAAGGCCCAGTGTGTTAATATTTGTTGAGGATTTTTGCAACTATGCTCATCAGTAATTTTGGCCTGTAATATTCTCTTTTTTGTGGTGTCTTTGTCCGGTTTTGGTATCAGGGTGATGCTAGACTCATAAAACGGGTTCTTAAATTTTGGGGGAAGAGTTTAAGAAGGATAGGCATTAACTCTTCTTTAAATGTTTGGTAGAATTTACCCGTGAACCTGTCCAATCCTGGACTTTCTTCATTGAAAGTTTTTTTTTTTTCTGATTCATTTTCATTACTGGTAATTGGTCTGTTCATATTTTATATTTCTTCCTGATTCAGTCTTGGGAAATTGTACATTTCTAGGAATTTATTCACTTCTTCTAGGTTTTCCATTTTATTGACATATTATTGTTTGTAGTAATCTCTTATGATCCTTTGTATTCCTGTGGTGTAGGTTGGAACTTCACTTGTGATTTTATTGATTTGGACCCTCTCTCTTTTCTTCTTGATTAGTCTAAATAAAAGTTTATCAATTTTGCTTATCTTTTCAAAGAACAATCTCTTAGTTTCATTGATCTTTTCTATTGTTTTATTTTTAAGTGTCTATTTCATTTATTTCTGCTCTGGTCGTTATTATTTTTTTCCTCTTACTTTGTTTTGTTTGTTCTTATTTTTCTAGTTCCTTTAGATGTAAGGTTAGGTTGTTTGTTTGAGATCTTCCTTCTTTCTGAAGTAGGCCTGTATCACTATAAACTTCCCTCTTAGAACTGTTTTTGCTGTGTCCCATATATTTTGAATCATTGTGTTTCCATTTTCATTTGTCTCCAGGTATTTTTAAATTTCCTCTCTGATTTCTTCAGTGACCCATTGGTTGTTTAGTAGCATATTGTTTAGCTTCCATGTGTTTGTGTTTTTTGCAGGGTTTTGTTTTGGTTTGGTTTTGGTAGTTGATTTCTAGTCTTATACACTGTGGTCAGAAAAGATGCTTGATATGATTTCAATTTCTTAAACTTGTAGACTCTTGTTTGTGTCCTAGCATATGATCTACCTTAGAGAATGTTCCATGTGCACTTGAAAATAATGTGTATTCTGCTGCTTTTGGAAGGAATGCTCTCTCTATATATATCTGTTGATTCCATTGGTCTAATGTGTCACTTAAAGCCATTGTTTCCTTATTGATAGTCTGTCTGGATGATCTGTCCATTGATGTAAGTGAGGTGTTAAAATCCCCTACTATTATTATGTTACCGTCAATTTCACCCTTTATATTTGTTAATATTTGCTTTATGTATTTAGGTGCTTCTATGTTGGGTGCATATATGTTTACAATTGTTATTTCTTGTTGGATTGATCCATTTCTCAGTCTATAATATCCTTCTTTGTCTCTCGTTACAGTCTTTGCTCTAAAGTCTATTTGTCTGACATAAGCATTGCTATCCCCACTTTCTTTTTGTTACCATTTGCACTGAACACCTGTTTCATGCCCTTTCAGTCTGTGTGTGTCTTAGATCTGAAGCTAGTCCCTTATAGACAGCAAATATAGAGAGTTTTTCTTTTTTAAATCTGTCAGCCACTCTATGTCTTTTGATTGGAGTATTTAGTCCATTTACATTTAAAGCAATTATTAATAGATATGTACTTATTAACATTTTGTTGGCTGTTTTCTGGTTGTTTTGGTAGTTCTTTTTTGTTCATTTCTTCTTCTTTTGTTCTCTTCCTTTGTGATTTGATTACTATCTTTACTGTTATGTTTGGATTCATTTCTCTCTTATTTGTGTGCATCTATTATAAATTTTTGGTCTGGAGTTACCATGAAGTATATATATAACAACTTTTATATATATGTGATTAAGTTGATGATCTTAAGTTTGAACACATTCTAACAACCCTGCATTTTTATGCGCCCCCACCACATTTAATGTTTTTGATATCACATTGTCCATCTTTTTGTTTTTTGTATCCCTTAACTACTTATTGTGGATATAGATGATTTTACTACTTTTGTCTTTTGACATTCCCACTAGCTTTTATAAGTGGTTGACCTTTACTCTATGTTTGCCTTTACCAATGAGATTTTTCCTTTCATAATTTTCATATTTCTAGTTGTGGTCTTTTCTTTTCCATTTAGAGAAGTCCCTTTTATGTTTCTTGTAAAGTAGGTTTAGTACTACTGAACTCTTTTAGCTTTTGCTTGTCTGTAAAACTCTTTATCTCTCATTGAAATCTGAATGATAGCCTTGCCAGGTAGAGTATTAGTTGTAGGTTTTTTTCTTTTCATCACTTTAAATATATCATGCCACTTTTTTCTGACCTAAGAAGTTTCTGCTAAAAAGTCGGCTGATAATTTTATTGGAGTTCCCTTGTACACAGCCAGTCACCTTTCCTTTGCTGCTTTTAAGATTCTTTACCTTTAATTTTTTCCATTTTAATTACAATGTGTCTTGGTGTGGTCCTCTTTGGGTTCATCTTGTTTGGGAATCTCTATGCTTCTTGGACTTAGATATCTGTTTTCTTTCTCAGGTTAGGGAAGTTTTCAGCTACTATTTCTTCAATTATGTTCTCTGCCCCTTTCTCTCTCTCTTCTTTCTGGGACCCCTATAATATGAATATTAATACACTGATGTTGTCCCAGAGGTCTCTTAAACTATCCTCATTTTTTAAAAATTCTTTTTTCTGCTCAGGTTAGGTGATTTTCACTATCCTCTTCCAGTTTTCTGATCAAATCTTTAAATCAATTACTGTGAATGATAATGATTATTATTAGTTAATGAAAATGCTACTTTTGGAAAATTTCACATTTTCCACATATACTTAAAATGTTAACTAAAAATTAATTATAATCTTAAAGCCATCATTTCTGTCTTCCTACCTGTTTTATCTTCAGCAATAATTCATTTTTTTCAAAATTAGAGGCATCATCCAGTTTTTCCTTGTTATTCCTAAAGAAAAGCCTATGAGCAAAGGAAGCCAAATAAATTCCTATTAGGACATGTTTTCCAGCAAAGCCACATTTACTTATGACATCAGAAACTTCCAGTCTCCATCTCCCTATACAATATATTTATTTACAATTCATTAAAATAAACAAAATTTTTACTCTTTTGGATTGATGGATTAATATTTCAGTTATTTATATATTAATGTAAGAAGCAATTTTTGAACACCTACACTCTGGGAGATACAGCACAAAGTCTCTACCCTCATGGAAATTACACTCTAGTGGAGTAGACAGAATATAAGAAAGTTATCAAAAAATATACATATATTTCAGATAGTGTTAAATGCTCCAAAGATCACAAAGTAGGGTAAAGGATAGAGAAATCCTGAGAGTGAGGATGGTACTGTAGACAGGTGATTAGGGAACACCTCTTGGGATAACTTGTGAAAGACCTGAAGGATGAGAAGGAGCCAGATATTTGAAAATCTTAAGGAACAGCTTTTCATATAGAAGGAACAGCAGGTGATAATATCCTGAGATAGGAACAAGCTTGGTGTATTGAATATTTGATGAAGACAGGAGTGTGAGAAGGCTGGAGAGTTAGACACAGCCCAGATCATATAGGGTCTTGAGGACAAGGTAGAAGTTCAGATTTTATTTTGAAGGGAACCAGGGGAGGATTTTTTAAGGAAAGGAGTGACATGAACTGATTCACATCTTGTAAAAATGACTCTGGCTACTTAGTAGAGAAAGACAATAGTATAGGAAGATAGACTATGTAGAAGTCTATGGCAGTGGTCCAGAAGAGATAATGGTGGCTCAGATTAAGGTTGTAGTGGTGAAGCTGGTGAGAAACAGCTGGACTCAGGATATATTTTAAAGATGAAGGCAACAGGACATGCTTTGGATTTGGCTGGAGTTAGAGTTGGGTTAGGGTTAGGTTAGTTGGTTAGCTGGGTTAGGGTTAGGTAGTAAGGAAAACAGGAATGGTGGATGACTCCTAGTTTTTTGGCTGGAGTAACTAGGTAAATAGTGATATGGAAGACTAAAGAAAGAGCTATTTCAAGGAGATGGGAAATTAAGAATTCTGTTTAGGACATGTATATTTGAGATATCCTCCAAGTGGAAAGGTCAAATAAGCTGTAGACTATATGCAGTTAGAGGTCAGGGCTGGATATATAGATATGGAAGTCACTGGGGTACAGAAAGTATGAGACTGAATGAAACCACATATGGAGAGTACAAGTAGAGAACAGAGAACAGTGAAGGGCTGAGAACTCCAAAATTTAGAGACAAAAAGAAGAACTGGAACAAGTAAAGGGTCCTGAGAAGAAGCAGTGTAGTAAATGAAATAAGAGAATGTGATGTTTGGGAAGCCAAGTGAAGAAAGTATATCAAGAAGATGGAAGTGAACATCTGTGTCAAATTCTATAAAGAATTTAAAAACTTTGAGGAATAGATCAGATTACTAAAATTTGGCAGGATGAAAATCTTTGGTAACCTTGACAATTTTGAAACCATGTCAGTCCTTTTAAAAAAGCATCTATAATTTTTATAGCCTCTTGCACTATAATGGCAAGTATGTACTTTGGGTCACAAATTGGATGTCATTTATATACAATATTTAGCTTCCAATTCCCCACTTCCCACGTGTTGATAACCAGCTGAATGACGAAAAAAGTCATAGCAATTTAGAAAGATAGGCACTGATTTGCCTTTATTATGCAAATACATCATGCTGGATATCAATAATAGCAAAGAAGAAGGATTAAACTAGCAATGCCTCCTGTGGATCTGTGAAGAATTTGAGGTACCCTTAACTGTCCACATATAGAATTTAAACTTGGAGTTGAGTAATTTTTGCTTTCCCTCAATATTTTGACCTCAAAATAGATAATGAGCTTGCAAGTTAACGATTTCATAGTGGGTGGGATGGGGGAAATTAAGACTAATAGATTAATAGGAAGATGAGTTATATAAATTATTTTAGTTTCTTGTATAATATATTCTGAAAGAATCTTATAGAATATTATAAAACAACACTGTTTGATTCTTCAAATCCACCAAACAAGAACTGAGCTGCCTCTCCCTACCTCCAAAGATAGAGAAAAGGAACTAAGTGAGAAAATAAAAATACAGAGAATTTTCTTTTAATTTGCCAAGTTATAAAGAAGAAAAAGTAAAGTTTTATTAATAAAAGGGGGGGGAACTTATATCCTCAATCACCAAATTAATCAAAAGAACTTTTCCTCAGTGAGATTCCACATGAAAACCCTTGAAAGGCTGGGACTGAAAAAAAAAAAAGATGAGCCATTCAAAATGAAAGATCAATGAATCCCCATTTTTATCTTGAACATACATTTAAAACCAGTTAGCTAACATGAAGTCTGCTTATAAATAAAACTTTATCAGTGTTTCAAGGCTTTTAATCATAATTCCTAGAAATAAGAGCTAATCTATATTTTCCACTATGATTCTTTGCCTAGTTTTTAAGAAATAGATATCAACTAAAATTATCGAATCACTTTCAAAGAAAAAGATTTTTTATTCTAATTTTTAATTGTTGTATTACTTGAGCTTTCCAATTTTAAATCTGGTACTGAGTATAAGGATTATTGCATATTTTATGGACTGTTGATGATAGAGTAGAATTGTGCTGTGCAGTTGTTATTTTAGAAGACATAATTTTAATCCCAATACATTCAAATCTATGTAGAAATGAGCCATATTGTAACAGGATCCCACATGTGGAATTACTTGTCTTTTGCAGAATCTGCTCAGACCATAATTTGTCTTTTAAACTGTCAGTAAACCCTGGGGGTAAGCCCAGAAGCCATGTTTATATTAAAAGACCCCACCTTCCTATCCAGAGCTGAGCCAAACAGCTTTTGATTGGAAATCTGGGAATTCTCCTGGGAGAGAATCTGTTGGTCAATCTCTAAAGATAGATGGATCTGTGACAGGTAAACTCAGAGGGTTTGGAATGGCCATGCTTAGCCACGGACTCACCAGGAAGAGAACACAGCATGTAGATAAAGAGAGAATCGCAGAAGGAAGCAAACACTAGGCCTTGAGACAGATGGAATATTTCCTTATGTTTCTGGTTTCAGTTCCATGGTAAAAGTTTTTGCCTTGAGGCTTCCCTGTATTTTCTCAATAAGTGCTGCAAGTCCCCCTTGACTAAGAACAACAACTGTAGCAGCATGGTTAGGTGAGTTGTAGCCCTATGGCAGTGCCTTCCTCCCGGCGCGTATTTGTAGGGAGTAAGGAACTGAAATAAGGATAGTACACACCCCAAATTCCCTCCCTTTTCCTAAACTAACCACATCATCCTCAATTTTTTTCTCTTGATCATCTGAAAGACTGTTTAATTTCAAAATGAAGAGGTGATTCTATAAAGCTGACAATCACACAACTTTTAGTAAAATAAGAGAATAATTTTCATCTACTATTAAATAAATTTTTTTTTAATGAAAGGAACATAACATCTAGAAGTGCTTCTGTAAAGATAAAGTATTATACTTACATTTTATCCTCCAGGATCTTACAGGATTTCTTCACGTCTTCAACCTGTTGTTCCCAATGTCTTATTGATTCTTGTAGTTGTGATATCTCTAAATTGTGATCACTAAGAACCTGTTGAAAATTCAGTAAAATTGGGGCATTCAATCATCATCAAATGGTTCATGACAGAAGTCCAATTCACTAAATATTCATGTATCATCCATTCAACTTCTACACTGGGGGTGTCCTTTAGTTAAAATAAAAAGCAATCAGGGGCTTCACTGGTGGTGCAGTGGTTGAGAATCTGCCTGCCGATGCAAGGGACACGGGTTCGAGCCCTGGTCTGGGAAGATCCCACGTGCCACGGAGCGGCTGGGCCCGTGAGCCACAACTACTGAGCCTGCGCGTCTGGAGCCTGTGTTCCGCAACAAGAGGCCGCGATAGTCAGAGGCCCGCACACCACGATGAAGAGTGGCCCCCGCTCACCGCAAGTGGAGAAAGCCCTCGCACAGAAACGAGGACCTAACGCAGCCAAAAGTAAATAAATAAATTAATTAATTAAAAAAATATATATATAAAGCAATCATTATATTGCTTGTTTCTTTATAAAACAAACTGAGACAGAAATAATCCTGAATTCATCAGAAAAGAAAACAAAATTTGGGAGGGAGAGAAACCAATTATAGCAATGTGAAAACTATAAAAACAGTTTTCAAGACATGAATTCATCTTGACTACCATTTAAAAAAATTAAATATACATTTTCATAATTATTTTCAAAATGTTATTCCAGGATACTAGAATGAGTATTATAAAAAGAAAAGTCAAAACAAATTGGGTCTTTTGCCTTAGTTGATAGCTATGTCCATGTTGCAAAGATTTTTTTCTTAATATTTAATCAGTAATTTGGAAATGCAAAAATTGGGTACTATGAAAAAATGTTAGCATGATTAAAAAGGAAATACGGATGGAGAAAATTCATAGTGAACATATTTTTACAACACAGTTTTGGAATAAAGAAAAGGGAAAGCAAACTTATCAGAGCTTGGGTCTGCATTTCAGCTTGTGAGGGAAAGTGGAGCTGAGAGAAAAGCTGATCAAACAAATTCCTTTGCTCTCTGGCATAGAGCTACCATGGACAGATTATTTAGAGCCACCTAACCCTGCACATCAGTGTGGGGTCAGAAAAACACCTGTTGGGGGTATAGAGGTGCTTTCAGTCATGCCAGGTGAGACAGGTGGGTGAAAGCTCCCCAAACTATTTTTTTTTCCTCTAAAGCACTCATATGACTGAACTTGTGGGCTATAAGTAGTTCCAGAGTTAACAGGAGTCTGAAATCCTAGATATGCCATCAAAAATTAGCAGAATGTCCAAAGAACTCTGACCAATAATCAGGATTAGTGACTATACACTGAAGGCCCGTCCTGCCTGACATCCATAACCTCTAGCCCTTGATCCTCCCCGCCCTGGACATGTAGGGCACCTTGAGAATCACACATCATTATTCTTTTCTGCCAGCATCACACCAGTTTGACCTGACTGCAGAGTTTTCTAAACTAAAAGCACCACATGAAGATGAACCTGAAATTCCCTGTAGTCTCAAGTCCATAGCCAAAATGTTGTTTTCTAATCTCAGGCAATAACAACAACAAACTTTACCAAATACAAAACACTCAGCTAAAAGCCTTATAGGCATGACCTCATTCTATCTCCACAAAAGCCCTTTGAAATAGGCAATATTATTACCACCATATTATAGGTGAGGAAACTTCGGGTTGGTAAAGCCAAGACTTGAACCCAGGTCTCTGTGATACTGAAGTTTGTGCTTTAAACACAATTCTCCACTGGTAAGGTGGGGTGGGGCGCTGGATTGGGGGGAGGTAGAGAATGTCACTGGAGCTGAGTTTACCCCTGCCACCTCAAGCCTTGACTTATTTGTCTTTAGAGATCTTTGAAGAACAGGTTAAGGAACATATACTTCATTTTTCCAAACCAGGTGGTGTGCTTGGCATAATTTATGAGGCCCCAACTGGGGATATGAGCTTAGGCGTGCCGATAAGATCTGTTTTATACAATCCCTATGTTCTCCTTTGAGCCTAGCCTGACTCATGCTTCCTTACTATGTTGATATATGAAGAAAGAGATAATCACCTTTTTAAACGCACATATCTGGGGGAAGTTTTTGATTTTACTAATGTTTTGTAATTGGATGTCATAATAGATATATTGTAACTATAATGGTCAAAATCACACTATAAATAGTATTGATATAATGGAATTAACTGAAGACTGATAAGCAATGCGATGTTTTAGTATTACTGTTGCCCCATATAGTTTTACATGTAATTCTCAACACAAATAGAAGAAATACGCTAGACTCATTAATTCAACTGTGATAGATTAACAGGTGTTTCTGTTTTAATTAACATAGAAGTAGTATTAACATTAACCTCTTCAATTATAGTCACTGCATAAGCTTCAGTTTTCTTATCTTTAAAATGAGGGTAATCCTCACAAAATATTTATCACAATACTGGCTTTCAATCGATGTTGTTAATTTTTAAAAATAGAAGTACACACATCTACACGTGGAACAACTCCTACAGCACACCTACTGAACGCTGGCAGAAGACCTCAGACCTCCCCAAAGGCAAGAAACCCCCCACGTACCTGGGTAGGGCAAAAGAAAAAAATAAACAGAGACAAAAGGATAGGGACGGGTCCTGCACCAGTGGGAGGGAGCTGTGAAGGAGGAAAAGTGTCCACACACTAGGAAGCCCCTTCGCGGGCGGAGACTGCGGGTGGCAGAAGGGGGGAGCTTCGGGGCCGCGGAGGAGTGCACAGCGACAGGGGTGCGGAGGGCAAAGCGGTGAGATTCCAGCACAGAGGATCGGTGCCGACCAGCACTCACCAGTCCGAGAGGCTTGTCTGCTCACCCGCCGGGGCGGGCGGGGCTGGGAGCTGAGGCTCGGGCTTCATTCGGAACGCAGGGAGAGGACTGGGGTTGGCGGCGTGAACACAGCCTGCAGGGTGTTAGTGCACCGCGGCTAGCCGGGAGGGAGTCCGGGGAAAAGTCTGGACCTGCCGAAGAGGCAAGAGACTTTTTCTTCCCTCTTTATTTCCTGGTGCGCGAGGAGAGGGGATTTAAGAGCACTGCTTAAAGGAGCTCCAGAGACGGGCGGGAGCCGCGGCTAAAAGTGTGAACCCCAGAGACAGACATGAGACGCTAAGGCCGCTGCTGCCGCCACCAAGAAGCCTGTGTGCGAACACAGGTCACTATCCACACCCCCCTTCCGCGGAGCCTGTGCAGCCCGCCACTGCCAGGGTCCCGGGATCCCGGGACAACTCCCCCGGAAGAATGCACGGCGCGCCTCAGGCTGGTGCAACGTCACTCTGGCCTCTGCCACCGCAGGCTCGCCCTGCAATCCGTGACCCTCCCTACCCCCCCTCCTCCCGGCCTGAGTGAGCCAGAGCCTCCGAATCAGCGGCTCCTTTAATCCCGTCCTGTCTGAGCAAAGAACAGACGCCCTCCGGCGACCTACATGCACAGGTGGGGCCAAATCCAAAGCTGAGCCCCTGGGAGCTGTGAGAACAAAGAAGAGAAAGGGAAATCTCTCCCAGCAGCCTCAGAAGCAGCGGATTAAAGTTCCACAATCAACTTGATGTACCCTGCATCTGTGGAATACATGATTAG